ATTTGTAATTTTGTCAGAAAACGCTCTCAACGAAACAAAAGAAACGATTATCGGTCGAGTGGACAGACGTTTACGAACACGAGCCGACCCCGGCGAACGAGTCCGCTCGCTAGCTGGCTGGCCGCCCGTGGGTCGCCCGAGCGGGCGTTGCCTTCGCGTACTTTGTGCAGTTAATTTCCTCGCTATCTCGCTAATTCAAGTTGTCTTCTTCCCTTCCTCCTTTTTTCCTCTCGGTCGTCGTCTCAGACCGGTCAGGCCTTTAACGGCGGCGACAGATAACAAAATGACCACTGACCCTTCTCCCATCGACAGCCGAGCCCTGCTGGACGTTTAATAGCTTGTCGTGGTGTATGAGATTTCGCGAAAGGGGCGGCACCGCAACCCACAAACTCCCGCACAACCTGTTTCCGTCTCGCTGAGGAGCACGACTGGCGCGGAGGGGGCCGCGTGCTATTGGCTGCCGCGTGTTTTCCCCTCCATTCTCCCTTCTGAAGGAGCATAAATAGCTGTCAGAGCGGACCGAGAAAAAGCGAGAGAGTCAAATAAGAAGGAGAAGAAGCTTTGAAAAATATCATCCATCGCGACAGAATAAGTGGCTGCTGTCGCCACTACGGGGTGACGCGTGCTTCGAATTCCTTGGTATTCATGGGGTCGACTTTTTTTTTGTTTTCGTTTGTCCTTGCTGCCGCTCGAGAGCCGCGTGGCGCTCCCGGTGCCCATACTGGCATTCAGCCCCCGTAGCGCGAAGCGTGTTCGTGAGTTCACGCAAGCGCCGCTACCTGGCCCTGGTAGATGTGGGACTCGAAGACTCGAATAGAGACTTCTATGTCCAAAAATTCAATTTTGGCGCCTTGACAATAGAGGAATGCCGTCGATTAGGGGAAAAGACCGGCCCTCACTCTCTTCTTTAATTTCAAATTCTCAGACCTACCGACTCAGCTTATACTCTCGAGATCTGTTTGAGCAGAACTCAATTTCCCTCCGAATCGAAATGGATCATATTGTGTCTTCCGAAATCATGATGCTCGCCCCCTTACTGAGTTTGACGCGGTTCGGACGGGATGCGCTCGACATCGGCATTAAAGAGGGAAAACCGCTCGCTTGATTGGAGTATCAAACAGAAGTATGGTGTCTCCTTATATTTTCTTGTCTGATCGAGTCTAGTCGATACGGTGTGGAGAATCGCGCAACCCGATTCCCTCCTCCACTGACGTTGCGACCGCGAGGATGCGTCACCGATAACGAGGAAGTTTTTTCGTCGAAATAGGAGAAGAGGAAAGCTGAATGTTCGTTTTTGGCGTATAGAAAAGCGCCTCCCCGAAAGTGGTAGCACAGCGATGACTAATGATCTTGACAAACCGTTGGACTGAGTTATGCTTTCCTCGCTCCGTGGTGAAGGTGTATTTTAAAAACGTGTTCGACGTCTCCTCTGTGACCGAAGGTGTCAGTTTCCCTCCTCGAAAGCGTAAATCAACGACTATTATTACTGGTATCCTACGCCGGAAAATGACGCGGATGAGAGATCAACGAATATTTTCGCAAGCCGTATAATTGTCATGAGATCGGTCGGAGTACACATCTGAAGCGCGATGAGACCTGATGATCCGATCACGGAATGAGGAGTGATTAATCATCGACTGCTGTTGCGTATCGGAGTCTGTGTGGTCGCAATGTCACCGCGATAAGGAATCGCGGGAATTCCAGGGAGGATCTGTCTTGGCTCTAAGGTCGAGAGAAGTTTGAAATTGAAGATTTTTGATCGAATGTGTCTTCCAAGATATTTCCTCGCTATCGGCTGCAGGCTGGGGGAAGGGGGGGGGCATCTGAGAAGTCTCGACGTTGCAGCCCTCCGCTTGCGGTGCCAGCGGTCAACATTCGCCGGAACCCGCGCGGCTATCGCTCCATCATGAATGCTCTTTGACGATCTGACCGATTCAAGGCGTCGGCATGCTTAATTTACGATTCGACAATGACCGGGAAACGTGTATTCGTGGGGAAAATATCTCCAATGCAATGCTTGTCGTCCCTTCTATGCTTTGTATGTCTGTGCCAGTTAGGGAAGCGATCGCTCTCAAACAGAATCGGTCGCCCGAGTATCTGCAAGAAAAACTAACAAAGAATGTGGCCAACAGAGCTGCGACTTGAGGCACTCGTTGACGAGAGACGTCGTTATCTTCGTTTATCATCGAAAGCTGACTTTGTGGTTGCTTTACTCACTCGCTGAGTTGTAGCATTCAAGCCACTTACGAGTATTATTGGATAAGAAAAGGCGGCAATGGCTGCGATGGCGGCTATTTCTCTTGGTCTATCATCTATTATTGTGAGATGGTCGCCGCGGTCGTGTCGGAAAATCTAGTAAACATTCACCATCCTCAGTCTGCGCATTGTTTAAGCGAGGTGTAAATTCACAGCATAAGCCAGCATTTCATTACTCTTGCTGAAAGCTATTTTCCTCTCTCGCTCGTTCTCGTCTTCTCGATGTGCTGCTTCAACCCACCGGGACGGGAGCTCTTCGACGACTCCGTAAGGTCCGCGATCTCGACGACGCGACGTACTCACGCCGCACGAATCGAGTCCAGAGCGAACCGGTTTACTTTTCCCCGACTTATTTTCGGCACCCAAAGTGTTATCAACGCGGTAGATTAGAAGACGAGCAGCCGGCAAAGTCGCATGCCGACCGATTCTTGATTTGCCGTTCATTAAAGTTTGCCCAACTTTTCGCTCATAGAATACTTGAAATTCCAGTTCGAGCAACGATATCTCGATGTTGACGAACATCTTGCGTCGACTCGATACGAGAGGAGCCTCTGGCTTTTTAGCGTCAGACTTTGTGGCGACGGAATTCGCTACAAAGTCTTCTGGGAACATTCCCCGCTTCCGCTCGGTGAAAGCTTTCTCTCGAGTGTAATTGCTGCTCTAGATCCAGTAGAAAATGACCATCGTTCCTCGATAAGTGTGATAAGCGCGTTTCCTACTCGAACGGTCAAAGTTCGTCCTCGTTCGGCACGAGACGATCGCGCGCTAATATACCGCGCGCAATTCGGTTTACGCCTCTGATTTGGACTACCGCAGTTTATATACCTCTCACCTTGGGTCGTTAAATCAATCATGAAGTGGACGACAGAATTAGACATCCCGATCTCGTAGGCGGCCGACTCCCTGCTCACCTTCCTCGATACGGAGGACGAGAGTTGGTTTCGAACGTGAGCTAAAGCGGATCGGTGGACCACTGTACCGATCCGGAAATATTCCCACTCCCTATAGAGTTCGATCGAGAGTTCGAGACGAGTTCTGAGAGTTCCGAACTCAAACATCGACCCGAGCGACTTCCGTTTCCGAAATGATTTGCGAGTTCCGGTGTTTGCTTGTCTCAAATCCTCTGCGAAAGCTGTGTCGGTGTGGTGTTCGTTTCCTCCGCTCTGCTGCTGTGGAGAGCCCCACTCAGTCAGTCAGCTAAATACTGACGCTGTTACCAGTTATTCGGATTCGGAGTCTGCTTCCACCGATCGCTGACATATAGACTGCGTGCTTGACAGGCCGCTGAGAAAGTGGATCGGACAAACAGACTCACGTTCGGCCGCGAAACCAAATGACGTAACGGAGCAATGAGCAATCCTACAAGAGATTGCCTCACTGTGTGTAACTTATCTCGAGGGGTCGGGGCGCGCCGGCCGTTTCGATGGCCGGCCGGCCTGGCCGGCGTGGCCGCTGCCTGTTCGTTTGTTTAACCAAGATTTACTCCGTGCCACTCGAAGAGAGAGGCCCTATCGGTGATCTCTTGTTTCCCGGCGACCGATCGGGGAAGCCGACGTACGACGACGACAACCACCACCACCACGAGTTGTTCTACCCTTGACGGCACACGCCTTTGTTTACTCAACCAATCGGAGCCGAGTAGCTGCCGTTGCGGGAACAGTTAGCAACAGCTTCTCCTTTTCCGTACAACCTACATCGTTCGGCCCGAGGAGCGATTTCGGACACGTTGCATCTGCTTCCGAGCGTTCCGAGCCGGATTCGCACTCCCGATCGGAGTCCTCGAGATTCCTCGGAGGAGACCCGCCCTGTTCCGTTGGACTGGTCAGCGTGCCCCTGGCTACGAAAGTGGGGTAATGGTCGCGCAGAGTGCGCCCATCGAATCCCAATGAGAAAACGGAAAGAGTTTGATGACCATTGTTGTCTCTATGGATGCACAACAACGTACTCAGGCAGACGGCCGAACCGGCAAGCGGAGACGGGCGGTGGGCAAGCCCCACCCAAGAGCTCTTGCAGATGGGAATTCCGGGCTAGGGGTCAACGTCCTTCTTTCTCCTGGGACGGAACAGACTCCATAGTGCGGACCCGATAGCGCTGTCTAGCGAGCCCGCCCGACGCATACGCATACAAAGGAACGGCGGCGCACCGGCACCCGCAAGGGGGAGGGGACGCGTGACGCAATGAAACAGGGGATTATCTCCCATGATCCATTCGGTTGGTTGGTGGGCTCGCTTGCTCCAGCCGCTAAACGGCATATGCCGGGGCGCGCGCGTATCGAGCTCCACGACGCAAACACCGTCTCCATCATCTGGCTCTTCTTCGTCGTCCGGAGAGGAGATCGGAGGAGACCTCTTGGAGTTCATCCTAAGGATCTCTTGTGTTATCCTCGATACCTTGTACCCTCCCTCATCCCAGTGGCTCGCTCTTTGGCTCACAGGTTCTTATTGAGCGAAACTTGTTGCTCTGCGAAACGCTTGAGCGTCCCGGCATGCTCGAGCCCGGAATTCCGGTGACATGGGTCGGGCTAATACGGAGTTTCGTTGCGCGCTCCCAACGCCCGGCCCGAGTCAACTTTCTCGTCGAGCCCCGAGTTCATGGTCTGCTCCGGGTGGTGAATACAGCCGCCCGGTCGAATATACAATGGGTCGAGTGACAAGCGAACTGAATCAACGAACCAGCGCGCTGAGCGCCCCCTACGAATGGAGCATGCGCGAGCGGAGGTCGGCACCGCGCCCATTTGAACAAGCAGCCATTTCATCGTCAGGCGTCTGTCGAGTGTGTTCGACGTGATTCAGGAACCACCGGTGAGTTCGAGTACGCTAAGCTTACAAACTGTCGCCGACGATCGCCGCGGTCAAGGTGGACGACTGCGCGATCGGGATCGGCAGTTGTCCGTCGCACCGGTACCGCCGTGAAAACGTTCAATTCGCGACTTCGTCGAGAGTTTGCGAACAACTCTCGACAGATGCGCTCAGCCGAAGCCGAGGATACCGGCTTCGACAGTGTGACGCTATCTCCTCTGAAGCGATGCTCGAGCGATGTCAGCTCGTATCTGCGCCCACATGCCTACTTTCGCAGTCGACAACAACGCTCGCTGTCGAAACCGCGCGCTTTTCGACGCCTTTTCAGTGAAACACGGCGAGCGAGCGTTGGAGCTAGGCGCCCGAACGAGGCTTCGCTCGGGAGTCTTCGACCATCGCAGACCCGAAGCCTGAAGTTTGTGGGGACTCGCTCCATGGAGAGTTCGCGAGCGATCCCGCGAGCTCTACTCGATGGCGCCAGAAGCTCGCCGGGTCGAAGACTCACTCGGACGGGATTCGGCCGGGTGTGGTAACGGAGGTGTAAAAACCGGCGAGGGCGTAACCACCTCGGATCAAACTTCAAGTGTCGCCGGCGCCTGTCTGCCGGCTCGCCCGCTGCCAGCCCGCTTCGGATAACAGGGCAAGCTCTTTTAATTTGAACTCTCCGGTGGCGTGAGCGAAACCATTGCTATCGCTCGAAATTAAGGAACTTTGCGATTGCTTGCGAGGTGAAAAAAAAATCAACACTGTGAGTGAGAGACCATGCAAAGCGGGAGACGCCCCAAAGGGGTTGCGCAATGCGGTACGATCGCCGGAACAATGAGGCGTAGGTGGCATCTTTGACGCTTTCGCTCGATCTACGAATACGATCGGATCTAACGCGTCGTGGTCGCGTCGGACGTCTACCGGTCTGCAATTCATCGCAACAATTGCGAAACTTGCACCGCAACCCCACGGCATGAGGCAACGCCCTCTGACATTTCATCGAATTTAGGGCTAGCGCATACGGAGAATCCTAACGTTCCCCGGATTGGAGTCCACGTTTCCGTATACGTGGGCTATCGGTGATTTTTTCCGGAATTTCCCTCCCGACTCTCGGAGGTCCTTGTCACGCTGCCGCCGCGCCGTTCTGACTCGTCGAGAGACGGCTGTGTTGGTGGAAGCCGCGGTACGCCTTCGAACCGTCAATCTCCGATCTGTCTGATCTGGAAAGCCGTTGAAAGCAGCTCGATCACTCATTGGCTTTTCCTCTGGCTCTTTTCTTCGACTTCCCTCTTACTTCCAATCGAATTTCCTGCGGCAGCGCCCGATCCAACAGGCAACTCTATTCTTTGGCGCCATTCTACCCGTACACTAAAAGCGCGTGGCGATGTTGCTGGCGGTAGTCGGGCGACAACACACTCCACTCCGCTTGTTCAATTCGGAATTTCGTCTTTCCGTACGAAGTCCGAGGAGCTCCTCCATGACATGCGTGATCAGGGCACAGCAGTGCCATGCCTCGCCGACTGACGGTCGAGTGCGATGTCTGTGAAGTCCGCCTGGGCCGAGCCCGAACTTCACCGCACCCAATGCTCGGGGCTATTTCGGGCTGGTTCGTGTAATTGACGGCGGATCTCTCACGGAAGCCCCCGGTGACGGACAAGGGTTCGTTCTTTGTCTAACTACTCATCGTTGTTCGAAGTTTCGCGACGGTGGCAACCGAGCCACCAGAAGCGGTCTTTCGGCAGGGGGGGAGAGGGGGTTGAAATTTCATTCAAAGGGATTGTCGGCTCCATTTTCCTCGCGAGGGCCACGCCTTGGAGCGAAAGGGAGCTCTCTCGGCTCGAGCGTTGGTTGGCGCATTAACTCGCTCGTGGGGATCGCAGACTCTGAAGAGGAGCTTCAGGGGCGCGAGGGAGTCCCGAGAGCGAGCCGGCGAGCGGAGGGACTCGCCGGCCGGCCGGCCCGTCCGCCCCGAGCGTGCCTCCCGATCTGTCGGCTCCACGCAGCTGGTTCGTACGGAAAATGCGGACTCCGTATCCAGCGACGGAGATTCATTAGAATTAGCCTGTCGTCGTGGTCGTTGGAACGATTAGTCGTGGAGGAGCCGTCGTTGGTTCGCCCGACACGTTTTTCGCGTCGAAATCTCGAGTGTGAGCTCGACGTCTCACGAGATTCCGCGGCCGCTATCAGTGCTGCATCTCGTGACCGACGGGACCAGAGATTGAGTGAGCGCGCCGCCCCCGGGGTCGATGGCGGCTGGGCCGCTCGTTGGAGAAGAATTTATTTTCCACCGCATTGTTTCTCATGGTCTCGGAGACCGGGATTCGAGATCATTGGGATAGAGCGGACGGTAACGAAGAGTGACTCTATCGGCGTCAGTCGCGACACGCTACAACATCTTTCTCATGAACTAGATGTTCTCTCCGGCCGCCGCCGCTGCCGTCGTCGTCGTCGTCTAAGAACTGTCTGGTAGTCAGACACCGCAGACTCAAGCCTCATTGGACTGATCTCGTGTCTCATCGTCGTCGTCGTCCGGACAGTATCTGTTTCTAGCAGGCCTCTCGTGTTCTGGGCCTCCCACTCAACATGCTTGCATCGGGCATGCATCCCCCAGCTCACAACAACAACAGCGGTGGCGGCGGCGGCGGCGCTTGGTCTGGTCGACAGCGGTGACCAGGCGACTCGGTCCAGAGTCAGCGATCCAACGAGAGTTGCCGAGTACAACAGCGTCGCTTGTCGTAGCGGCGGCCAGTTGCCGAGGCAGCCGGCGTTCAACATTGGTGCTGGGACTTCATGGAGCGAGCGAGCGAGCCAGCCAGCGATCGAGTCTGCCTGCGAGGAAGAGAAATAAGCCTAGTGCTATGGGTGACTCATCGCGTGGGTAGCGTTCAATCGCTGCTTCGCTCGCTCGAACGAGGGCTGCGTCCGCGGCTGCCGGTCTCGATGGAGACCCAGGCAAGCAGCAGCAGCGGCGGCATGATGCATGCATACTACACCAACAGGCTGGGGTTTCCCGGCTGGGTAGCTTGCTGACAGACAGACGGACAGACAGGCTCGCTGGGTCGCTCGCTCGCTCGGCCGGCTCGTTGCTGGATCGACAAACGGGCGGGAAAGCGGGCGCGCGGTCAGAGTAGGCGATGACCAGAAGTGCCACGTGTTCATGTGCTTCTCCAACAACTGATGATGGTCGGAGACTCTCGTTGGGAATGGGGGCTGCGAGAGATCCGCGAGCAGAATGAGTCTAATGAATTCATGTAGCGCAACAGTTCGAGCAATGGACGGAGAAAAGAACGAACGGAGCGAAAAGTCATTTAGGCAAACTTCATCGCTCGCTCGGCTCTGCTCAGAGGTCTTCGGTACCGTTAGCTCCGAAAGGCTGTCGCTCATTGTGGAGGGAGAGGGCCCGGCTGACGCTGTCGGATACTTTTATCAGAGGGTTGTGGTTTTCGCTGCCGCTGCCTTTGGTGCCGCCGTTGGGTCGACGTTTGTTGCCGATTGTTGCCCGACAAAACTCCACATTGTGATCGAGGTTGTCGGCGGCACCATCATCAACATTATTATCGACATCATGACGATCATCATGAGCATGTCGGTACGACAGCTGGTAGGCGACCGCGGTAGCGCACAGTCGAGCGCGATTCCCTCTTCGCTTCAAGCGAATTCCGAAAGCCGAACTCACATATGGTTCATTCCGAAACACTGAAGCTCATCAGGCGAATGAGTTTTGGGAATAAACGAACTCGTCACTTGTTGGATGAAACGCTCAAAGCGCACCCATCGCCTCTGAGATTGTTCGCGACCGGGCTCGCCGTTCCCGAGCACGCCCGCGGAAGCAGGAGCGGGAGCACAATTCGCGGACATCATTGATCGGGAGCGATGTTTGTGCGGCATTCCGGCTAATCTTTCGCCGCATCTTCCAGGCTTCTCGAGCTGTGTTTTTTTTCTTGGTCAGTGTGTGCTCTTCTGGTTCTCGTTGGCGGAGTTTGTATGAGTGCGTGAGTGAGCGTATAGTGTTTATCGCGGCTTGTCTGAGTGACGATATGCAGACTCTCCGAGCATGCGTTGGTAAACATTGCCGTGGTTGACCGACCGGTCTGCGAGCTGCACGGCTCGCTGGATAGCTAACGGTCCATTATACGAGCGAAGCCTCGAACAAGACGATCGAAATACGAGCGAAATCCTTTGCGAGCGCTCCGTTTGTTTTTGTCTCCAACGATTGCTCTGGTGCGATAGGCATGTCGTAGATCCTCTCGGAAAGCGGATCCAATCGCTGGGAGGGCCAAGGGAGTCGGAGTGGAGACTTCGCTCGCCGTGAGCGCCGCTTTCGCAAGTTTCCCTGAAAATCCGTCAGCGCTCGAAACTCCGCTTCTGCCTGACTACCTTTCGGTGAATATCCGTTCCTGAAAAGTCAACGAGGAGGGGAATGGGGAAGCTCTTGGGCTTTAATGCTCGCTCAATCCTCTCGTTCCTCTCTCGGTATAAATCTCCCCGCGAAGAGCGAGAATCATCGCGATGAGTTCAGCAAGGTCTTGACGGAACTTGGAAGGAGATTGGCGACATTGGAGGCGCCTCAAGTGAAACGACTGTCGACGATCTGACTGTCTGGCTGACTGACTGACTCGCTCGCTGAGTGACAGCCCCGCAGCTATCCCGCCGAGGAATTCGCTGCAGTTTGTCTTTTTTAAGCTCTCGAAGGAGATTTTAAGCAAGAGATCCGAACGCGCGTCTAGCGTAATTCTATGGTTGACGCTGAACACAAATTAGTCGGCGAATTTCGAACTCGTGACGAAGTCGCACTTCGCTGCGTTTTCACTTGAATCTCGAGCGTTCGAACTTCCAAGTGATAACTCACTGGTTGGTCCCTTGGCGACGTCGAGCGAAACGCTCCCACACTCCGCTAAACGATGACTCTTCGTTCAGAATTGTCAAGGACAAACATCGAAGAAGATCATTCCCGGACAAGAGTTCCGTTGACTTCCATTCTCTCTTCCCTTACCGCACTAAATTCCTCGACGCTCCGCTCAGCTGACAGTCGGCGTCAACTCTCCCTGTTCCGAATTCTTCCCGCTAGATAAAGTTGTTCATATCACTGTCCGGGGATCGACTGACTCAGATGTAGGAGCTGTCAATATTTTCGCTCGAGGATGTTCGAGAGTTTTTCTTCGAGACTCGCCGTGAAGAGCAGAAAGATTATAAGTTTTCCTCGGAACGAAATTCGAACACGTGGGGAAAACAAAATACAAGACTTGAGCCTGAGAGGAAAGCTAAACAACGAAGCTTCGAGGATAATTCGACGGCCGTCGTTGCCACTACTTGGATCTCTGAATCCTCTCAATGCTAATCGAAGCTCTCTCGCTCACATCATTTTGTGTGTGTGTGGTATCTCTGTTTATTTTTCGAGGCTCCTCGGATTTCAGGATGTGTTTGAGTTGATTCATGGGCTGCACGGCTCGACTTTTATCTTCGAGAATCAGTGGGAGAGACTTCGAGCGGCGGAGGCCAGAGAGAAAGATCGAACTGGAAGCACGCATCAGCCCGATCCGAACGCTTTCGGGCGTGACAGCGTACGATATGTGGACGTTTTCAATATTCGAATTCTGCGCCGTCGTTTCTTCGAACTCAGAGGAAGAAACCCGATACGACCGATATATAATAGCCGCTCGATGATCGCTGAGTTTGATTCGTCCGAGGCGATTGTCCACAGGGAACACTCAAGAGGTCAAGTGCTCGAAGCAGCCGAGACCGAGACGAGACGGCGGGAAGCGTCCGACCACTCCTCCTTTCAGAAGCCGTTGCCAATCGAGCAGGCAAACCCAAATCAGAAGGAACAACAACTCACGATCTTTGTTCAGAAAACGTACATTCGGAGCCGGGTCATCTTTGTTCCCGATAGCATCCAATCTACGCTTCGCGATCATCGCTGGATCGGGATGACGCTCGTCCCGGGCGAACGCTTCCGCCGTAGAATTCGTCAGTGAGAATGAGAAGCTGTTCAGAGGAAAGCATCTGAAAAGAAATTAGCGAGAAGAGGAAATCACCGATAGATTGATTTCTTAACTGACTGACTGAGTGAGTGGAAGAGTGCATTGACGGGCGAACAAGCGACCGAATAGATGGTCGGTCGGAGAGTCGATCGGACAGACGGACTGAAAGATTGATAGAAAGATGTACGAACGCTCGTCTGCTGGGCTTTAAAAGGAACGGGCATGACTCCGTTCATCTAGACTACAGCGGGAGATTCCGGAGAACGAGGTGACTCACTTGGACAAGTAAACGTCACTTGCCCCCTCTCTCTCTTGCTCTATCTTTGAGTCGGTCTCTCTCTCTCTCACTTTTGGGAGCTCACTCTCCACGTCGAGAAGTGCGGCCCTATAGGAACGCGTATCGTTCGAAACCGAGTACAGTCCTGACGAATCATTTGCTTCATCAAGTGCGTGTGTGGTGGTTGTGCAGCGCTCTGAGTGTTCAGCCTCCCCGACTTCGAGTGTTTTGTGTAAGTGAATAGGTTCTGCTTCCGAGTTCCGAAGATTCATTTGTGCGCAACTAGAGAGCTCTGAGCATCGAGACTCAAGACTCGGCATTCTCAGCGACAGTGATTTCAATCGCTCTCCGATTCTCACCCGCACTCGGAACTCCAGAGCTATCGCTCTATTCCTCCGAAAGGCGTGGGATTCGAAGGCGCTCCAATTTCTAAGATCTGTAGCGCGAACTTCATCGGTTGGATATTGCGCTCATGCGTCAACCTCGAGGAAGCTCGTCTGATCCTAGCTGGCCGCACAGGATCCTTGGGATGTACATCGGCTTGAAAACTGCCGTATCAATTATTTCGGCGCTTGCCCCAACCTGGGACCACCACCAAACCTCCCATCGTCTTAGGAAATGCCGTCGATCCGACATCACGGCCCGCTCAGATTTTTTCCGGAGCGATTTCGCTCCGACGGTATCTTCCCTCTAGCAGAATATCGGCATCCAATCACCAGCAGTGGATTGTAGCAGTGCCTCGCTATTGTAGATGAGGTTGAGATGAGGAGGAATGTAGGCTCGTGCGGTCAGAGGCGTGCTCCACTATGAATATGTAAACAGGGGGATACAGAGGCATTCCGCCTTGAGAAACCCCGGAGAAGTCATAGGACTAGTACGGAATCGCGTTGACTTTGAAGGGATCCTTTTCGAGAGAGAACTTATTCTGAGTGCGACAGTGTTCTTATCTGTTCTGTCACAGGGCAGCGATCCATGACCACAGATCGATGCTGCGCGCGACGGTTGCGAATGTCGCGTCTCTTCCCTGAGGAGGGGATAAGCCAGGAACTAGAGGGCCACCATCCAGAATTTAGATAACACTTTATCATTCGTACTTGAACTGATCACAATGGCCCACAATGAAGGTCTGATTCAAGCGTCTCAAGGGTTGCTGTCGCGGGGAGAGATTGTCGAGCAGCCTCTCGGTCAAGTCGGAGCATTGTACAAGAGATTAAGCCTAATATTGGTCGTTACTCGGCTCCCTGATGAACTTTCGGAGTGGCTGATCTTAGCCGCCAGCCAGGCGAGGCTGAGGGACTCTCTGATTGGTTTGCCCGCCCAGTCGGCTAGTTCGTAAGTCTGTGACTCGACCGCTTGACTAAGTGACTGACTGACTGCCTGCCTGCTTGGCCGAGAGTATGGAGAGCGGAGGATCAAGCATGTAAAGTTGGCTCGTTCGTTCATGTTAGGCGATCACGAGTAGATTCGATGGAATTCGGGAACGTTCGCATTCCAGAGAATGTCGCTTTCCTCGATCGGCAGGCGGACTGAGTGAATGACTGGGCCGAGTCCAATGTCTCATCCGCTCCGGATTTTGCGCTCCATGAAACCGACTCAGTGACCGTTGTTCAGAGCTGTTCTATCTGCCTGAACGTCCGGCGCATAAACACTCATTTTTGAGAGTGATTCGTTGGTCTCGCGGTCGTTCGGCCGATGCCAGAGGCAGCGCTCTCTGGCTAGCCAATCGTCCCTCCTAAGTCAAAGACCCATCAGAGTAGTTAGCTCGAGCAAGGCCAACGAGAAGGCGCGGGGAGGAGGGGAAATGAAGAATGAGCAGCGACCCCATCGAGCAAGCCAATGTTCCCCTTCGACTGGTGTTGATTGAGGGATCCTTCTCGTCGCAATGCTCGGCTCATTGAACTTATTAGGTTTGAATGTGGTGTACACGAAGAAACTCCACGGCTTTGCGGTAGGGGAGTGATCGGATCCATGTTGCTCGAATCTCGTGGTTTTCGGCGATGCACATCTAAGATATCTCAAAGATCAGATCGCCGAAAAAACGAGTGTTAGGCTGGGTTGAGGGGGTCGAATGATTCATTCTTCCCGTTTCAACCAGAGGGCTCTGGTGACTGCAAGCGTTCGACGCAGAAGCGAATATTGCGGCGTGGGGATTATCACCATTATCTTATAGATTTGGCAATCTGTGGTATTCCATAGAAATGAAGCGATACAGAGTGATTCTCGGACGCACGCGCTGCGATCAGGAGACCATTCGCGATCTTGATGGCGGATGCAAGCCGCGTAGAACCGTTGACTCCGAGTTTTTCCCTTGACCAAGCGCTTAGGTGCTCCTCCCAACTTGGCGCCGTCGACGGGAGGGGGTAGTTTTCCGGAAGCGCGAACGTCCGGAACGAATTCTCCGTCTTGGGTCTTGACGATTCCGAGGCTTGCGGATAGCAGCGATGAATCCCGATGTAAATCTTGGACGACTATCTATTGAGAAAACTCTCGGACCAACAGAGCGAGTAGGGCATGACAGATATACTGGAGACATCCAAGGAATGCGGAGAAGCTCGAGAGAATCGATTCTTTGCTCCGAATGATTGCTGCGTGCATTCGAATTTTGGCGGGGCTCGAACCTCCCGCCATCTTGCCTGATGGCTTCGGCGGCATTTCCCGATTTGAATGCGGCTTCTACTAGTGGGGAGCCAACCGTTGTGAGTAATATAAACTGTTGTGAGTGAAAACTCTCCAGAGGAAACCAAGGTGATCATTGAAAATTTTGCCCTTTTCGGAATAACAGTCGGGAGTGCTGCGACGCAGAAGTTTTCGAACGGCAGCGTCATCGACTATTTCTCTCAACGGTGACTGTTGAGCGCCTCTGGTCTACAGTGGAGGAGGCTGGTGAGCGGGGGGCGGGAAGAGGAGTCCACAGTAGGTACGAGACGCGAACCGTTAGCTGAGCAGATTCCCTTGCGACGGATATCGATGCTAAAAAATCTGTCTCCTCTCTTTCCAGAAGTCAGCTGTACGAAATCACAATTTAAATCGAGATGACTCACGAGAACGTCGAGGTCGCCCAGGCTAATGGGGCTAAGCCCGAAGTGGCGGAGAGCGGAGGCAAGCCCGCCGCTACGGTCGAGGGCAAAGTTGGCGCTCTGAAGATCGAAGAAGCCAATGGCAAGGTTGGAAAGGAGGCTGCCGCGGCTGCTCCGGCGGAGAAAACGAATGGAGACATCGCTGAAAAGTCAGATGTAAAGGAAGACGGCGCCGTGAGTACTCGTGTACATTCATTTAGCGAGTCATACTCTCATCGACATAATTCTACAGCGAACTATTGGAGCTCTTGAAATCAATGCAAGACTCGGGAAACTCATATTGGCGGAGAGTCTGGGAACTTTTTCTCAAGGGTGAAACCTTGCTCCACAGGAGGCCGAGGCATCGACGTCCGAGAAGAAGGAGGATGAAGCGAGCGACGACAAGGGTGACGCGAAGGAGGAGAAGGCCGCCAAAAAGAAGAGCAAGCGTTTCTCGCTGAACAAGCTCAAGAAAATTCTCTCGTTCGCCGAAAAGAAGAAGGGCAAGAAAACCGACGGCGTCAAAGAGGAGGACGCTGCCGCAGTCAAGGAAGAGGGAGATGCTGCTAAACAAGAGGGCGAAAAGAAGGAAGACGCGCCCGCCGCCTCCGAATCCGCCGAAAAGAAGGATGATGACAAGAAGACGGAAGATGCCACACCAGCGCCCGAACAGCAAAAGACGGAAGCTGAAACCAAGGAGTAGATCTATTCAACCAGCCAAGCAAACAACCAACCAACCGAAAAGCCTACCAACAACAACAAACATCCACACCAGCAACAAACATCCACAACAACAACAACATGCAAAAAGCATCGATGCAAACAGCAACAGCCAGTCGCTGCTGTTGAGCTGGAAAACAGTAGCGTGCATGAATTTCTGGAAATTTTTTGTGTAATTCCCTCTTAATTTGTTCGCCTCCAGCAAAAATGATGATGAACATGGAAACCATGCTGATGGCGATGAAGATAATAATGATGCTACAGTGTTCATTTCAAATTCAATATATTGAACACATATTGACAAGAATATGTGTCACCCGTATGTAAATAAGCTTTGACCTCATTATTGAGACTCCGTCGGGGTCTTATTTTCTTTGCTTGCTGCTCTTGTCGCGGAGTCATCGGGCTTACCCTACGAATCATCCTACATTAGCCTTCTCTTCGATTTTTGTCGACGAAACTCGCAATTTCTCGCGAAAATCTTGTGGAAAGAACACCTTCGGAAAGAAATATAAATTTTATCCAACATTCCAAATTTCATCTTCAACTGGTAATAATTTATTGAAGAAAGTACGAAAAATAACAAAGATCACAGTCAAAACTTCACCGAGTATTCTTGCCAAGCTCAAGTATCGGGTTCCGGGAAATCATGCATGCTACTGTTGAACATGAATTCAGATTACAAGAGATCTTATAATTGATGAAGGCGGAGGAAACAACGGCGATGGATGGAGATATTAATAATAATTATGATAATTATAAGGATAATTACGATAAAATAACAATATGAAGATGAGTATGATGGAAAATGACCACACTAGAACCATTTCATTCTAAAAAAGGCGGAGCCGGCTGTCGAGCGAAGAACCGACGACATCGTGGTAGCATCGGAGATCTTTCGTGAGGAGCATCGCTTGTGAATTTTTTCGTTGCCCCAACTCCTCCAGAACAATATTTCTCTCTTGCCGCTTCGTCGACGCGCCGGACATGCGGTCACGCGAGTCGCATATTGAGCTGGTTGTTCGTGGTGATGATCTGAACAATTAAATCTCGAGTTTTTTTTTAATTGTTATGTTCGCCGACGACGACCGTCTGTCTCTCCGCAGCTCTTCAAATTCCCATACGAATGATTCAATGTATACTCAAAAGCGACTGGAACTTATTACTCCCTTCGGAAAGTGCGTGTCTCTCATCATTCACTTTGGCTGAGCGATCAGATGGACATGGATCGAGCGAGTGCATCGTTGGCAACTCCATCCACAGGACGGACACCGTTGGAAACATTTGTACTGTGTGAGAGGGAGTAAGAAGGCAAACTGTAAAGTTCACAACAGCGGAGAGCAGCGGACTTCTAAATAAAAAGGAGAGAGGAAGATTTGAAACCAGTCTATTAAGCCATTCCCAAGCCGTTTCCGGAGCCGATACTTTCTGTAGAAATTGAGGGGAGCGACAGCCGCATTTCAGCACTAGAGGAGAAGTCCATCCGATCGCGGATCCATCTTGATCGCTTCTGATGCAGGTATTTTTTCGGCATTACCTGCCTGGACTCACTCTGTTGTTCCGTCTATCCGTGTTCCTGGAGAGTTCTCCGAAAAAATTTCTGTCGCTATAGCGCTTCCAGACCGGGGGCTCCGGACCCGGACGTGGTTGGTGGTTGGAGAGAGGGAGCCGTGATTTTTGGGAGAAACCAAGGCAAGGCAGCTGGGGAATTCAATGGGGCTCTCTGGATCAATATCTTCTACTCCTTTCCACCTTGCTGGCATAGAGATCTTCAGCTTAGGAAAAGAGGGATCCATCGTATCGAGAGTCTTAGATCAGGCCCCGGAAGTGTTTCAAAAATTGCGTCACGTCTCCGAAAAACTCAAGGCGGGAGAGTGGGCTCCGGACACGACTGGCAGGGTACGGTACGCCGAAGAATTAGGCCCCGCATGCTTGCGGCATCCGTTCAGACACAGAGAGGGGTTTTTGACTCTGCGTCCGTGGACGCAGAGCCCCCGCCGCAGTTTTCCAGCGATCGCGGGATATTCGAGAGTGAAGTATAAAGTACTTTATTTTACTCTTTGTACACCATTTCTGCCATATCCTGGGCTCAACAAGTGGGTCTCCTTCGGTCCGTGAGCCGCGAAGCACAGAAGAACATCAATAAAGTAACTGAATTCGCAACAGAGAAAACATATTACGGAGCCCGTGGGATTGATCATCGGCTGTCGATTGATACGTTCTGAGGAAGCTCCAGGAACGGCGAGACCTCTGAGAGGGGGATATTCAGTGGTCTCTCACGAGGCTCGACTGGTCGGATAGAGAGATTTCGACCTCGTTCGCTGTCATAGGTCCTTGAGGCGCAGTCCAGACTTCAGAAGAGTTGCCATCGTAGATTCTAGACAGCTGGAAAGAACGTAGAGGTGAAAGTTCATCCTCAAACCGGACCCCGTAGAACAACTCGGGGCTTCGATGGAAAAGACGGGGGAAGAAGGTTTAGTCGTAGCGAATCGATCTCGAATCTCACCATCCATTGCGCACGACGTTGAACGTCCCAGGCTCGCTGAGGTCGATGATGGTCGATCCTTGCCGCTGTCGCTCCTCAGAACCCTGACAGAGAGTTCCTCCATCCAATACGAGGTCCAGCGAGGGCCACAAGTCTCTGAACTCATCTACCTTCAGCGTGGACCGCTCGGATGAAACGTTCGCAGAAGTCAAAGCAAGAGGTGCGTCGACGGACTGGCATAGAGCGCTGCGGGAGAAGATCAGATTTGGCCGGAGAGCCATCGAAGAATTGAGATCTCATTTGGGCCGGAGACTCTGACTTCAAAAGTGCGGTATCTTACCGGATATAGGCGGAATTCGGGACACGAATCGCCACAAGATCGGTGTCCGGGTTCAGTTCAGGATTGAGCTGTGCGCTTCTTTTGAATATCAATGTCACGGCACCCGGCAGAAGGCATTCGAGCAAATTCCCCGACACAGTGACCTGCAGAACGATAGGCTGTCAATGAACTCCGAGATGGCGGATAGAGCCTATTCGAAGCAAGATCCGGATTCGGATGAATGTTGATGAGACTTACCTCCGCCCATTTATGGATGTCTGCGATTCGACCCACACATATAGCCACTGGTTTCAAGGGGTCCCTTCCCTTGATAGAGTACAGTCTACGTACGGCGCGAACGCTCTGGGCTAGACCCGCGACCCCATATACTGTATCCGTTGGCACTGCCAGAACTCCGTGGCTCAGCAGCACCGACCTAGCTAGGAGCACACTGGGCGCATCTGGAGAGGATAATTGCAAGGTATAAAGTGAGGAAGCCGAGACCCCAATGGGTATATGAGCAATAAACACAACGAAGCTCGTGGATCAGGCCATGCCAGCCGCATTACTGGCGCAGTCGGAGGAATGATATAGACCGACAGGGACCGAGGTCGGCTCAAGCGGTAGATGAAGAAATATCCAAGTTTGAGGATTCCGAGGAGGTTCCGGAGCCCGAAGTTGATAGCTTCAGGGAGCATTGTTTGAGTCTTGTGGCAGAATCGTAGACCAAGGGCGGAATCATTGCGGAAACAGGAGGATGCAAGGCATTCTCGGGCTTGTGTGGACATTTTAGAGAGAGGCTTCATCCGTGATTTCTCGACGAAAGTCCGACCGTTTACGGAGTTTACTTAGAGAGGATGCGAACGTCAGAATACACTCGAGGAGCTGAAGGCTCGGATTGCCCAAGAGCCAGTCCTGGTTCTGCCGGATCTTACGAAGTCCCTCATTCTTACGACGGACGCCTCGGATCTCGGAACCGGCTCTGCGTTGACTCAGAAGTCCGATGATCCGAAGGACGACGGGATCGGGTGAAAATCCTACGCATTCCATGAGGCAGAGAAGAATAACTCTTCGTCCGAGAAATAAATTCTCACGGTGTAGAAAACAGTATATCATCTCCGATAGTACTTGGAAGGTCAACGGTTTGTTCTGCACATAGACCACAGTGCCCTCCAGGAGTTGTTGAAAGCGAGGTAGCCTAAATGGCGAATCGCACATTTGAAAGCTCTCGGAAATCGATTTTTGCGTGGAGCACAAACCGAGGAAGAGCGTTTCGCACGCAGTTTTTTCTCGAAATTCCGTACTCGGAGGGACGGTCTCTCTAGCGGGGACAGTAGGGGACCCGACACCCCGATGGGCATACAGTGGAACCTGTCCAGTGGGAAAAGCCGCGGTTCACCGTAAAGCGGTCCGAAAACCCATGGGGGGTCCCATGGGGCAGGTCGTCTAACATGGGAACGAATCAAGTCCCTTCAATGTGTGGTCTGATTACCTACTCATGTGTACCGCATATGGTCCTCTTGGACGTTGGTCTTAACAGACAGCTTCCACTGCATAAGCAATAAACACAACGAAATTCGTGAGTCAGTCCATGCCAGTCTCATTACTAGTAACGCGGACGGAAGATAGCGGTTGAAGTTTGGAGTATACAGGAGCTTACCTGCGGAGACCTTCCCCACAACGAGACGTTTCGTCATGGTTGCATTGAGAAGTTCCACCGTGGAGTAGGCTTGCGATAGTTTCCAGAGAGCACCACGGGAGCCGGAGATCATGACCGCATCAGCGGCGGGGGAATCTCGGATGGTCACCGTCGCTGCACCAGTGTCATTATTGAGCACAGATATCCGCGCGAGGACTCTCTTGCGGAGTGTAGGCTTTCGAAGGCGACTTGATCATGGAATCCCGTTCAGGGGTCGATTTTGTCACCGGAGCTCCTGGCTCGAGCAGACCGAGTACTGAGCCGCGAGGAAGCACTCCAAGCAATTGATCCAACTCTCCGGACGATTACTCGCGCCGAGTTCTCTCCGTCGTTGTCATATGGCAACTCTCAGACAGCTTGTTCTCCGGAGAGCGCACGAGTTCCGCTAAATTAGCGGCCGGACCTTGCCCGAAAGGTACCCGTCCGATTCGAGCGGAGTCGGCTCCAGGTCAGAACTTGTTTCGAATATGGAGAGCAGTCGATTTCGTGTCATGAATGTATGGAACGCACTCATTAGAGACGGTTTCAGCAGCTTCCCGATGCTCCGTGAGCTCCCATAATTTGCTTGGCGGCTAAGGAACCGCCAAAACACGAGCACGTGCGGGCAGATCTACCACAAATCGAACGGCCCGGGACCTCAGACTTCATCCGTGAATCCAGTGGCATGGCTGAGAACAAAGAGGATGTTCCTGCAAGCAAAGGACACGGCCGGAAGCATAATGACGGCCGTCGCAAGCAAACGAGGTTTCCGAAAGAGAAAGGAAAAGCCTTCGCCAAGAAGGTGCCATCCGGCGACAACGAACGACGAGAAATCGAACAGTTGAAAAAGCTCTATGATACGGTGAGTTAACTCTGAAACTCCATGATTTCGGAGATCTTCATGATTTCGCTCGGAGCAACGGTGGCCATTGGAGTCGGGAGATCATGGGAGAGGCAGTGGATCTCGTGGTCCTTTTACTATAGTCCCAATCTTTTTGGCAGTTCGATTTCGGGAAGTGGGACACGTTCAAGGAGGCGCCTCTTTCCGTGAAGACGAAGGCTGGTAAGCTCCAGAGACTTACGTAGTGTGAACCATGCGAGAATCCATTGTCGTATATCATCCCATTTCGCCGATTGCATCAAGGGGGCTCCTATAGATAATTTTGATTCTATCAGGTCTCGATAGGGGAGGTTTCGTGAAACCTACGCGCATCCAGAAGGAGACCCTAGGTCTCGCTCTCAGAGGCGGCGATATTCTCGGAGCAGCGAAGACAGGCTCCGGGAAAACTCTGGCTTTCGTTGTGCCTATACTGGAAATTTTGTTTCGGTAAGAGCTCCCCCTTTATTGTCGAATACATTCAGCCACATAGAATGCCCAATCCGAAATTCGCACATTCCATCTCCTGTGATTGGAAATACCGGAGCGTATCCTGTGGCGCTATCCATCGCAAATTCCACTCATCGATCTCGATCCCCCGCAGGGAAATGTGGACTCGACTCGACGGTCTGGGAGCGCTAGTCATCACACCCACCAGAGAGCTCGCGTATCAAATTTTCGAAGTGCTCAAGAAAGTTGGAATCAGACATGATTTCTCCGCCGGTCTCATAATCGGTGGGACGGTGAGTCGTAACGGCCCTCGACCCATGGAAATGTTTCTCATCCATCGATGCCCGGATCGAGGTTCTGCCATTGCGGTTATCTTCCTTGTAGGAAGTGGGATTCGAGCGGAAACGACTTCAAGGCTGTAACATAATCATATGCACACCAGGACGACTCCTTCAGCACATGGATCAGAATCCACTGATGGACCCTACCAATCTCAAAATTCTTGGTGAGGACAACAAAGAATCTTGAGAAAACCCGAAACAATGAGGACGTCTTGATTCCGTAATATATTCTCATCTTTGGTTATTCTCATCTCATTCATATATTCGCGTGATTTACCGTTCTTCTTGGACAGTACTCGACGAAGCGGACAGGATTCTCGACATGGGCTTCCAAAGAGACATGAACGCAATTCTGGAGAATCTGCCATCGGATCGCCAAACTTTGCTCTTTTCGGCGACCCAGACTAAATCTGTGAAGGACCTCGCTCGGCTCTCACTGAAAGATCCGTCGTATATATCGGTCCATGAGAAATCAGCGAAAGCGACTCCTGAAGACCTGCACCAGGACTACTTGGTGTGCGAGCTCCACGACAAATTGAGTTTGCTGTGGTCGTTCCTCAAAAATCACAAGAGCAAGAAGATCATCGTCTTCATGTCGTGCTGCAAGCAAGTTCAGTTCATCAATACCATCATGCGGAGGATGCGACCGGGTACGACCGTGCTGCACCTCCACGGCAACATGTCGCAGCCGAGACGGATGGCTATATATGACACATTCTGCAGCAAGCAGTCAGCGATTCTCCTAGCGACCGATTTGGCGGCCAGAGGTCTCGATTTCCCCAGAGTAGATTGGGTCGTGCAGCTCGATTGTCCCGAAGATACGGACACGTATATCCACCGGTAGGTCGATTCGGGAATCCATGTCATACCGCGGAGCCTGGAGCAATTTCCTCTTGAACCGTTATTTTACAGCGTCGGTCGCACGGCCCGTTTCGGGAACTCCGGGAAGGCGCTCTTAGTCCTGCTCCCCACGGAAGAAGAATCTATGGTTCAGCAGCTCGAGAAGAAGTCTGTCCCCATCGAGAAGATTGAGTGCGTTTCTTTTCCTGAAGCTCTGAGATGAATTTCAGATTTCCACATGATATATCTGATCTCGACAAGCTTGCTCCGATGAGATTCCAATCGTTTGGTCATATCTAAATGTACATTTCATGCGATATTTCAGCGTGAACCCCCGGCGTTTCTACGATGTCCAGAGGAAAATCGAGGCCATGTGCGCTCGAGATGTAGAATTGAAGGCTTCTGCTCAGCGTTGTTTTGTTGGATATTTGAAGTACATCTTCATGCAGAAGGATAAGCAAGTTTTCCGGATCGATAAACTCGATCTCGACCTCTACGCTCGGAGTCTCGGTCTCATTGTGACCCCCCGGGTACGCTTCCTCGACAAACACAGAGCGTCCAAAGGGAAGAAAGCATCGATCGTCAAGGTGAGCCCGCTAGTCCCCGACCGAAGAAATGACCCTCTCCTGGTTCCTTTTCTCCGAAGGGATTTCCATTTCCTCAGCTTCAGGTTTAATATCCAATTATGCCTCCCTCAGGAAAATGAAGCAAGTATCGGAGACGATGGACCAGAGCGGGAGACCGCTCAAAATCCGCCTCCGGTCCAACTTTCGAAGACGATTGAGAAGTTCTCTTTCGACGACGGCCTGGAGAGTGATGAGGAGATTTTCACCAAGGGTAAACTCCTCCTGGACGGTGACGAAATCAGTGGCGGTGAGGAATCCGACGGGGAAAGAGCCGCGACGAGTGAGTCAGCGCTGAAGACTCAGGACAACTCGAAAGCCAGCGACAAAGTCCTCACAAAAGTTCAAGCTGCCAAGAAGATCCTCAGGAAGAAACATATTGTACCGAACAAGAAGGTCGTGTTCGATGAGGAAGGAGAAGCCTTTGATGAAGGCGACGCGGGTCTTGGGAAGACTCAAGCAAATGCCGAGGAGAAAGGCGGTATCAACATCGAATTGAGTAAAAAGCTGATGAAAGAGCAGGATCGAATCGATAAACAAATCTATCGCGAGAAAGTAAAGGCCAAGCACAGGGAAGATAGGCTGAAAGCCAAAGCTCAGCGGAGAGCTGCGACGCTCGGTGGGGATGCTGTGCTGGATGTCGGCGATGGCGATTCCCGAATCGATGAGCGTGGCGAAGCTGGTCGAGGGGGAAGCGATGAAGAGCGTGGATTCGACAATGAGGGAAATAATAGCGAGTCTGATTGGGAGGACCGTACGACTCTCAAGAGAGAATTTCCGAACGAGGATGATAGTGAGGACGGTGATGGGGATACCGGAGGCGAACTTTATCACGACAGTGAGAGCGGGGGAGAGTGTGATTTGAGCGACAAGGCATCGTCGGATTCGCGGAGCGACGTCGAAGATGAGATCCCTCAGAGACACGTACCGAGGAAGCCGATGAAGGTTCGCGGTAAATTCGGTTTGAAAAAGAGGAAGATCAGCGGAGTGGAGGAACTCGATACCGGGCTAAGTCTGGCAGGCGACGAGGAACTGGCGTTGAAATTACTCCAGTCCTGATTCCAGTAGGATGTCCTTGTCTGAATTGTAAATAAAGAATGTTTGCTCCCACTTGGGATTTTTCTTGTGCGTTTGACAAAAAGGACGCCGGAATTCATGAGCGCCACTGCCTGCGTCTCACCCATGCCCTCAGGACTATGATCGTCTTCGGAAGCTGATGGGGACTAGATCGTCTTTTCAGAGCAAGTTCCGAGTGCTCCTTCCTCAATCAGATAGAGGATCTATCTGCTCGTGGCCGTTACCCATTGCAACGTGCTGATGATAAGCGCACGAACTTCGTCCCATAGAGCGCCTCTCCCGGGACGGGATCGAATAGACTCCACTAGATGCGATTGTGAGATCTTGCTTATCGTCCTTGATCTTGAGAGCCGTTGCACTACAAAATGAAGAAAGGTCGGGAGAGCGAGCTCACACCCTCTCGATTATCCACCGACTCAAGAAGCTCCTTCCCAGGCAGTCCCCCATCCCGAATGCGACTCGAGGAACTCTCCAGGCCCAAGATTCGTGCGGAGCGACGATCCGCGGCACGGCCTCACCCTGAGGAACCTCAAGAGCTCCTCAGTAGAGCTCGAGCGCGAAGTCTCGTAGCACCTTTCCATCCTGCAGTCCCACAGGGTCGGCGCGACCGCATGCGCTTTAGCTTGACCGCTCTTGACTTGCGGTTCGCGCGAGAATCACGGAAGGGATCGACGAATTCGAGAGATAGATCAGCTGTCGATCAGCGGGCTTTTCGGTGGCGTCCATTGCTAGAGCGTTGACCGAGCTAGAATTGAGATACAGTAGGCCTGAGGTCAAGGCTACGCTATCCTCTCCCGGGAGCTTTTCCTTTGAGAGATAGGGAGCCGTTCAATATGGAGATTGGAGGTCATCGTAGATTTGCGGTTGACACGTGGACATATTCACGGGCCAGTGGAAGGGGTCCGAAGAGCATCTTTTCCACTCACTTTATAACTCGCCAGTCAGATCTTTCCAATGGAGCTCCTTTCGGCGACCAGCGTGCGTATCTCTATAATCCCTTAAGTCGTATATCGATATCGACTCCTACAATGGGAGCGCAATAATTCTGCCATGAACTGAGGAGCATGAATGTCAGCGAGAATCAATCTTAGATCCATCGCGCTAAATATCATTAATCTCGATCCCGAGCCTGCGTCATGATAGCTTGACTCGCTTACGAGTGGTATTTGTGTCGTGAGTGCGGAGTACTCCAAAAATATCCGTATCTCAACGGATGGGCTCTCGAATAGACATTAGATTACGGTTCCGTCTTGTTGCCGCGCTCCGGGCGAAATGCGGAGTGCGGATATTGTTTCCCTGAACGGGAAGACTCGCGCATCCCTCCATGATCTGTGGGTCCTTGGTCGAGCTTTGACCGAAGCAATTAATCGATCGTTCCGATCCAAATAGAATCGTGACACACAATTTATTCATCGCCCTATATGATCAATTCCATTCCCAGCAAAGTCCTTACCCCTTTCCCCACCATGTTCCCTTCATTTCATCAAATATCACCGATGCCGAGCTGCTTCCGATTTCCGGATGGGTCATATATTGCCGAGGTTTTCCGGGTCGAATTGGAATGAGTCTGGCAGAATTATTTCCGACGATTTCATCGATCACGCTCTTTGACATCAAGACTTGGAGAAAGTTCGACGATTCGACTTTCCTATAGTACACATTGTCTCGCGAGAACAAAGCCGGTCGAGGAAGATATTCCGATCCTCAGCTCCAAGCTCCAGAGAACTTCATTGCGGACTCGATTTTTACATTATTGCTATCACTGCGTTGACGTCTGTTGACGTTTTGTAAGCTTCTGCGCTTCACGGCGAGCTATGATGTCGGCTTTCACCTGGTCAGCGGTCCACCCGCCGCGAGCCGGCATTGTCTTGTTCATTAGATTGACCAGTTCGTCCGTGTACCTGTAACAATTTCAGAACTTCAACAGAGAGCCCCTCTTCGCGAGGTATCGCTTTCCCCGCTGACGCATACTGCCGCGGCACGAGCTGAGCAGCGATACGATCTTGAAATAGATTGCGCGCAGCCGCCATTCGCTCAAGGCCAGGACCTCGAGAGACGATGGAATATACAATTTATCTTGCTACGTTGCTCGTACGAACCTATCCGGATGTTTTCCGAGATGCTGCACGTGCTTCGAGTCATCGAAGGTGATGAGTTTTACGTCGACGCCAAGCTCGTTCCAATGGTCGACTACTTTACGATCAGATTTCGGACAACTCACCTACAAGGTAGAAGTTCTTACGTGAAGGTTAGGTCCGTGGCCGTGTTCATCGAGAATGTCCCACCGGGAGAGACTCTAAGCCGGAATCAATGCCCAGAACTCCGCTACCACCCGCCTTCCCCCTCTCCATTGGATGGGGGCTCATGCGACAGATCTCACCTGGTCTACCATAGAATTGAAATAGAGGCCCGGAACGTTGACCGGCTTCAATCGGAAGAATTTCGACGAGTTTTGATAGTGTCTCGTGGCGAATGGGTAAGCTAAAGTGAGCCAAGTGTACATTCCCACCGTGCCAGCCATTCGGAGGGCTTTATTCCGCGTCAGGGCACCAGGGAGTCCGCTCGCGATCCCTTCAACGTCGACGCAGCTGTCAAAAACCTGGAATGAATCCATGCATGAGACAAGATCGTTCGGTAGCCAAACGCCCAAGGCGGGAATGGGATCGTTGCACATGACGAATCGCAAAAAACTTCTGTGTTGCGGAATTTCTGAATTTACGAACCTGCGCTTTCATTATTTTCCTCACGTGCTCGTATTTTTCGGGGTCCTTATGCATTTCGGACAAGCATTCCCCCCACGAGTAGCCCCCCATACTGAATGCATGGAGCATCATATTCTGATAGCAGCGATTCTTCTCAGCGAGGAGATAATCCAGAACTTCGCGCGCAAGACTTTGCGTTCCGTTCTTGGCTGCCGGGGCCAGTAATTGTTTGGCCTGAGTTTGAACCCAGAGAACGTCGAAACCATTGTCTAAGTAGAATCTGCCGCAAATAATGAGAATTCATGTCAGGGAGCCTTTTCGAATTATTATGGTCGATTCGGAAGCAGATACAAAGAGCGAGAGAAGAGCCTACCTGAAGTAATCTTCTAGATGCGCGCGTTTCGCCGCTAGCCAAACAAATAACAAAGCGACATGGGGGTTGTCACTTTTCTGAGCTCTCAAAAGTTCCAGATTCGCAGAAAGCCGCTCGCCTGGAATATGAAAAGTCCGTGAGCATCTCAATGGACGGAGCATTGCCCTATCTGTGAGCTCGGTGGCTTTTCGATTACGACACGACACCGAGTGCAGATGGAATGTTTCAATCATCTCGAGCGGAAGTCTTCCATTGGCTTCGACTCGGTGTCGGGACATGTTAGGATTTTCGAAGCTGACAGCGAATGCTCCAATCTGGGAAATGAGTTCATTTTTCTGACTGAAATCCGTTCCTCCGATGCCGGGAGATCAGAGTATCTTCCAGATGTTTTCAGCTTATCGCTTCACCACGTTGAGTTCTATTGATTGAGCTTTCACCGCAGATCGGATCGATGGCGGCCCGATTCGCGAAGCACGGTTTGGAGAGACTGACGAAGATCCTGTACGTGTTGGACGACGACAACAAGCACTTGACGGCTCTTCACTCACCTGTGATTAGAGCCCTTTCATTTGAATACGATCGTCGTTGCAATTGTTTGAGTGCTGCTACTTGAGAGCGATGATTCCCTGCATTCATCTTCAGCATAGCCACATGGCCAGAGGCGAGTTTCATGACGAGAACCATTTTTCGAGCAGTGGGAGCTTCCGCTTGGCAAAGATGATGACTTCGCGAACCAGACTATCGGCTGAATTTATTTCCCTGCCAATCGCGAATCAGGAGTGGTATACTGAATACGGTTGACAGTCTTCTGAAATACATCGGTGCAGAGCTCTTTAATCAGAGTTTTCCTCATGCTTCCTGGGCAAGGGGACTGATGGACACTGAGGACTAATTCTGTTCTCCCCGCTCCGATCAGATGGTCGAGAGTGACCGACAGACGAAACTGCGTCTAAACGTTCGTCGTTCCACGCCGAATATTCCGGGCTTGACATAAACGAGAAACTAGTTCTTCCCGAACGCAGCGGTCGCTTACCACGATTTCGCAACTCCGGCACCTCCTGCGCAGCACTGGACTCTACGTACGTCCGCTCCGCACTTCGCCAACTTACCACCAGCAGCGGCAGCCGGCCAAACGACAAACAGCCGTGCAGTCAGCGGGTGAAAGAGTGTGAAGAGGAATGAGCGAGTGCGAAAACAGGATGGTAACAGCTTCTCGTCGCGGTCATGAGTGAGTAGGGGGACGGCCAGGAAAGCAGCCAGGCGGACATCCACTCACTGAGACAGCCGCTGCAGCTGAGAGAGAAAGCAGCTGATCATCATGATCTCTGCCTTAGTCCTTGAATGACCATAACCAAGTACACCGGCGCGGGAGAGGGGGGTGAATACTCTCAGTCAGCCAGTGTCACCCACAGGAGCGCCGATTAAAGGTCTCGGTTGTTGGAGATTCGATGTCTCGGTGGAATCATATCCCGTGGAGTAATCGTCCGTGCTCTGTCGTGATTCCCACGGTCGCGAAGAGGGAAGCCGGGTGGGACTCGAGACTCTTCCCAATTAAGATCGGTCTGGGAAATCGTTCCCATCGGATTTATTCGGACTCTTCCCTCAGATATTTCCCTCGTATGGGGAACGGAAGACGATTGGATTTACCATGCTCATCGATGTCTGCACGTGTCTGAGTACGGGGTATCAGCTGCTCGCCGATAGCGGACTTAATCAGCTATGGCTCGATGGAGGCTATTTCACATCGCTCCTAGAAACGGTACCGCTGTGGGCGTTGCTGAGCCCGACGCTTGACCCCGGTTCGGAGTTCCTCCATAGCTACGGAATTGTCGCTCTCAACATGGGTGACAATGACGGCGCCGGCTTTCTTCATATTTACTCTCCTTACATTGAGGTCATCCAGAAGTTTCGGAGCCAGAGAGTTTCCTGTCCCTCGAAACAAGCGCGGAAGACCTATCAGCCTAATTAGAGCCGATTGATAAATCTGGCTGTCAGACGATTGTGAGTAATCTCAGCCGGGCCGTTCCACGCATATCGAAGAGGCGATGTCGTCCTGGGATCGCGGAGAGCTCGTCTCAGCTTCGTGAATTTATTAAACTCCATAAAGGAGTTGCAGGCACTTTCGCTACCGGCGATTCGGGAGAAGAGGCCAGCTCCGCCTAAAGGTACTCGATATAACGTTGAGTGTTTCATATAGATCAGAACCGAATGTTGAGTTCCGCTCCGGGACAAAGATGGGGGGAAACAGCCATCGCAGGAATTCCATCGAATTTTATTCATCCGTTCATTCATCTATGCTTCATCACAAACCACCCTATTGAACAGTTGTCTGACTTTGTGGCGTTTTCAGATTCATGAGCGCCAGAACCGCTTTCTTGTATGCATCCAAATTATAGATATTGTCTCCCTGATCCTTCAGCTGCTTGAGCGCTCCACCATACTCTTCGATCACCTTCTCGGAGACGTTTTTGGCTTGGCTGGCGTATTCCTTGGCGTACCTGGAAGGAGCGAATTTTTTTTCAGATCATACCTACCGGTGAGCTACACGGCGAAAACTTCCCGAGATTCCACGCTGGAAAAACCTACTTCTCGCTCCTCGAATCTTCCCAAGTGAATTCGAACATGTCGGCCTCCTGTCGATCCGTGAGCTCCCATTCTTCGGTGATCCACGATTCATGATACGCTGCTGTCAGCGCAAATAACGAATATTCCAAGTTCTGGCGGCGCAAGGGGCAGCGGTCTGTGACGATCACTAGTTCGTCTTTTTTGGCATTGTACCTGAGAGGAATCGAGGAGAATCGTATTACGATGACCGATTGAGTATCTCCCGAAATCCACCTCTGGATAGGTATATAAAAGAGCATACCTTTCGCCCAAGATTGTGATGAGCTTTTCTCGAGAATGTTTGTCCAGCTCCAAGGCTTTCAGCCTTAATTTAAGCGTGACAATGCGCGCACGCTCGTCTCTGATACTGGGACCTTTGAGAATATTCAGATCGAGACGAGTTATGAGAGCCGTTCTTATAGGCGAACACAGGATACATACGAAGGCACCGAGAGTTCCATACAAGCAATCTGACGGGGCACTTGATAATCTTAAAACATTATCGCATTCTACAGACCTGCGTTGAGGTAATCAGATGTCGTGATCGTCAACCAATTCTTGCTGCGCCGATCCGTCAGAGCCTCCGGCCATTTGGTGCAGAACTTCTTCAAGGCCTAGAATGTGGAATAATTCATGCGTACCTTCTCGAGAGATAATAAAGATGCAATCGAATGCGAGGAGAATGTTCATAATGTTTCGATCAGGATTCCAACGAGGCCCCAACAAACTCCCACGGAGACCTACCTCACAATGCGCTTCGATCGCTGGGGGTGTAAGATGTAAGAAATTGGGGATTTTCATGAGTTCCAGGTTCCCCTCTTTCGCAACTGGCGGGCTCGTCTTCCGCGCAACGCCTTGACGTACGGGCAGCGGAACTACGCTGGGCTTGAACGATGCAGCCACGGGCCATACAGACGGCCAGTGCTGATCCACCGGCATACGATCAGCTCTGAAAGACGAAGCATGGTTTCAACGCTACTGAATCACCTGAACGCGTTCAATCGCGGTGACGAGGGAACTTTTCTCCCTCGGGAATTCGGGAATGGAGACACCCTTCCGTCCAGCCCGCAGAACGCGCGTCACGATTTTGAAAGGACAATGGAACTCAACAGCCGAAGGAAGGGGTCGGGAATCACGTATCTTGTTCTAGAAACTTTCCAGGGGGAGAATACGCGCAGAGCTGGATGTCCTTCTGCACGAGCGCTCACCGTTTCTGACGGATTTGTCTTGTTCGGTTGGTTCGCGTCATTTTTCTTTCCTCTGTGTTCCTTTGGTACAAATCAATTGTGCGGAACTCTTCATCCATAGCAGGAGCATCAGTAGAGAGTACACGACATAAGGCGAATCGCTGCGGAAAAAGCGAACGTCGAAGCAAGAGAGCCATCGCGATCGCGACGGCCGGTCAGTCGTTCGGAGCTGCTTTCACGAGCGTGTTGTGGGGTAAGTCGTCGTAGCGAGTTCCGCGGTTTAGGACTATTCGACGGGAGCGTGGATATTCGCATTGGAAGGATACGCGCCACGTGCTTGTAGATGTCATGTAAGGGTCTATCTGATCCCGGACCTGAGCCAGAAGTCGCCGTCCCTTTCAGGAGAGTCGAATACTCTCGAGAAAGCCAGAGAAGAAGTCGGAGCGAAGTTACTCCAGCTCAGTACTCCACAGGAATTTCAAGGGCTGTCATTTTGAGAACGAATCCGCGATAACTTCCGCCAAAAGATTATTCATCAACAAATGCCTGCTCGCTTAATCATTGTGGTGGGGATGTCTGTCGAAGCCAGATCCTTGGCGGAGTCAACTCGAGTCTCATACGAAGAGCAATCGCCCTAGGTATACGAAGTCAGGATGGCCGAGCGGTCTAAGGCGCTGCGTTCAGGTCGCAGTCCGGTCTTCCGGGCGTGGGTTCGAATCCCACTTCTGACATATTTTTCGGGTCGATCGGGTATTTTTGATCCATTCGCTCCTCTCTCCCCACCTTGAGGATTCCAGGCTGCCACACCAGAGGTTGTGGCTTGCAGGCCCAACTCGGACTTGACCAGAAGTTCGAACTCAGACTCATTTCCTCCAGCGAGTGGAATAGCTCCACTCGGCTAAACCAGCTGATGTCTCCGCATCTCCCAATGAATATAATTTGTCTGAGTTGGGATGCATCTGATTTTATTCCCGTACCTTAAAATTCGGAGATGGTCATTCAGCCTCTCGAGCGGAAATTAACGCTCAATATGAACATGCGAAGGCAGGAAATCGAAAACGTCGTCCTTTGTCACAGCATTCCCGGTGACGATGAGAGATTTTAGGCGGGCGCAGTTTCGGAGATGCCTCAACTTCTCCAGCGTCAATTGATTATTGCTCAAATCTAGTTTCTCTGCAGTAGCCATAAGGTGACATCCATGCAGCGAAGTCAGGCCTAACGAGGAAAGATCGACCTCAAGCGTGTTAGGCTTGAGGTGATCTTCGATGAGGAGCTTGGATTTCAAATCATCGTAATAATTTTTCCTGTAGGGATCGACTTCCTTCAGTTTATCCAAGACCCGGTATTTGCGCAGGTGGCAGGGATCGGGCTTCATCGCATGCAAGAGCACAACCGAAGTCAATAAGGGCCATTTACTATCGGGCTCCATTTCAATTATCTGTTCCGTCGATTCCAACTGCCATTGGAGATTAGCTCTTCTCTCCAGCAGGCTCTCGGGAGTTTCGGCACCCAAGTCGCTTCGATACTCCGTACATGACAGGCACAGCTTTGTTGAACCGACCACTATGGATTCAGGTTCCCCGAGATCTCCGTATTGATATCTCTGCGGAAATACATAATTCTCGTATATTTATAGTCAGCAGCTCGGAGTTAACCCATGACCCTCTGTGAAATGTTTCGCAATCGATGCACCGCCTTACCCAGACCCAGGCAGCCGGCAGACCCCCAACTTTCTCCCACTTTGGCCCTTCCAGAACCTGCCCTTCCGGGGCTTCGACCGGCAGCGTATTCTCGGTCAATGCTTTGTCGAAAACAGCGAGAACAGATCTTTCCTTCGGATACCACTTTAAGAGCATCAGGGCACCTTTCGGCTCCTCTGGAAAAAAATATCTTGCTTAAGAAGTCGAAGCTTCTCAAATGGCTCACGGAAGACAGAAAGGCTCAGCGAAAAATTCCACCTTTCCCCAACAACCATCGATGGTACATCCACGCGGACTGGTCTTGTGGATCCGTGAAAGCTGCATTGAGTACGAGCTTGAACTCCGCTTCGAGTTGTTTCTTCTCGATGGAAACTCCGTCCCTCCCGGGTGTCAGCTTCGGTAGAAGCTTCGATCGATAGTGCCAAGACGAATAATTCGAGAAGTTTGAGTTGATCCGTTTCCTGGAGAACTCGAGCTCCTCCGCGTCGGAGACCGAATTCTTCGCCACGAGGAAACGCCGGTAATCCCAACAATGAACTGATAAGGAATAGAACGTCTCGATCAGGATGTGCGCTCCGTCAGAGGCTATCTGTGATTCATTACACATTCTCTCCCCACTCACAATTCCTGTCATCCTTCTCTAGAAACCGCTCAGAGAGTTCTAGCTCCTTCTTCCAGTCCGGACTATCGGGAAGATTCTCATTCGTCCAGCCCCGATGGAACCACGATCCATAAGACTTCGGGTTCTTCATTAGGGTTTGTTGCGTCAGTGAGAGTTCGTCTTTCGTTCGTCCATCGGTATCGATTCTGCATAGGAAACAAAATTCAGCATACGGCGAACAATTTCCGAGGGTAACTCGCTCTTCGGAATATTCCAGGAAGACGCTCGGAGAGGAGGGAAACTTGCCCATCTGCTTTCATTTTAAGGAAGATTTCTCTCCTTATATTCCATAGGGTAGAATCGTCTGGGTTATTCATGAGGATTCCGGCAGTGTAGTTTAGGAGCTCATCGTCGAGTTCCCCCGCTGTTCTCTGCAAAGAAAACAGGTTTTCAGCGGAGACCGGAATTGGTTGCTTGGGCTTCCCGTGCCGTTATGAATACCGGCAGGGACCGTCTGAGTGAGAGAAATGTTCCCTTATCATACTGTATCGATAATAGTTGATCATATTGGCGCCGCTATGAATTCCTTGGAGGGTTCATACTTTCTTGTATATGAGTCCAGTTGCCGCGAGATATGCGGCTTTCTTTTTCTCGCGCTCTAATCTCTTCTCCTCAGCTTGCTGAGCTGTCGTTTTCACTTTGACACGACCGTGCTGAAAATCAAGACGACATTGGTTGATTATCATAAGTCGGTGGGAGGACCTCATTCAGTCGATTCGACACACGAACCCACAGACGTCATTCCCATCTCGATACCTGATGTTCGATAAGCTATTGGGTTCCCGACATTAGTAGATGCACCGTGTGCTCTGAAGAACTTCCGAGAGTCAGAATGGAAGCCGGCTTCCCGATCACTCACGTGAGAGCACGTCGGATATGATTGCCGGTACTCAAAATCCTCACTCCTTACCGCTCGTCTCTCCTCTGAACATCACCTACCATTGTATGTAACCTGAATAGATAACCACCGAATGACTGCCTGCGAATGACTAGGAGAGTTCGGGACAGTAGGGGTGTTGTTGAACTGGCCGCAGTTGGGCGATGACAGCTGATGCGCTGACGTAAGTTCAGACGGGAAACGCATCGCATTTGGGCGATGTGTAGGCTCCGCGCGCTTCTCCACGGCTCAACGAATACGGAGCGAGTCGCGGGAAGGATGCAATTCCGGGAATCGGAGCTATTTCCTTGCTCGCACGGGAGGGAAGATACGATTGGATGCCGTCGAAACGTCAGAGCTATTCAGATAACTTTCAGCTCGCATGTTTGATTGCGGTTCCCATGTCCGCTCCGGGTTCCTTTCGACTCCGATGCTAACCGTTGCCTCGCAAGTCGCGAGGGAGAACCAAGACTATCCCCCAACAGTTTTGAACCGAACCCGAGCTCAGGTTTTCAATTTGCGAGAACAGTCGGGAATATCGCCTGCATTGATTGCTGAGGGAGAAAATAAATCGAGGTTCGAGTTTCGAGGCACACAGTAATTCTTTCCCGAGTCTATGACCGAAGTTTGATTTTCGTAGGATCGATCATTTGGAGCAGCGCTTTCGAGGATTTATGATCAGGTGATGCGGAACGTCGGTTGATCATGATTCGGATTCAGCAGGTCACGATCTTCATGTTTCGTAAGCAAGTCAGAAGGCCGGAGTCGTGCTCGGATGGCAGCAGGAGCAGAATGACGACTTGACTCCGGAATTTATTCCGCGGGATGCTCCGATCTCCGAAAATTCGCAGGACCGTCAGGATGGCCCTCCAGCTCCAAGATGATGATGAACAGAGGTTCTATCCCCGATCCATGCGGAAGATTCCCGAGCTCGACGCAGGAAGACACCAATTCATCGGGGGGATCTCCGATTATCATCTGCGTGTCCCGGCTCGGCTCTTCAAAAACGTGCCGTCAGAGTATCGTCAGCCTTCGACGAAGAAGCTGCTGAGGAACCGCCATCATCAAGCGGTTGCCGAATATGTTTTTGAAGTGCCTCCGAATGTTTCATGTTATATGAGGGATGTTTCGTGAAGTATTGGAGCCCTTTAAACAGGAACGCATTCTGCCGATTCCGTAAATCAGGAGATCCATATGGATGACTACGGCCGTCGGCTCTCGGAAGACAGAAGAACAACACGAGGAGATATCGCTCGACAGGTTTTAAAATATCCAACTTACTTCAACAAGCTCCACTCAAGCTTTAGTACATTGAATACATTCTTGCATACGTACCCGTCGGAAGCCTCGATAATCTCCGGGGAGGCTTCCGACGACTTCCCCCGATGAGCGATGCCCCGGATTCCGGACGCTGTCAGACATTCGGAGGAGTAGTCGGATATACAAATATGTGTACAGGGTCACAACAGAGGCGCTGTGCTTTGCAATCCCGTTTTTCCGCCCCGTAATGCCTAATCCTGATGAAGGTTGGCGCCCTACCTGAGGGCGAGAAAGAATTTCTTCAAGGGACTTCGATATCGGGGCTCCCACTCCGAAAGCTGGAGAAACACTCCCATGGGATAGACTCCACGGTGAAGAGGTCACGGAGCGCTACAGAGGCTGCCTATCGGAGATCGAGAGTCCTCGTTCCCGAAGGAGCTCTGGGAGTTGGTACGGGGATTGATGCACTTCGGACGATTCGGAGAAAAGCATAGAGAATTCAGTTCTGGCGGAAAACAGCTAGCAGAAGAATGCGTCAAGGCTAATTGATCAACCGGTTTATCTCTGACAAATCCATCCCTTTCGATTCCACAGGGACACATTCCGAGTAACGAATCCGGAAGCCCTTTGCTCAAGGGCATCGAAGTTCGAAAGCTCATCTCATTAACCGGGATTCTGATCGATCATTCCCCCGATGCTACGGATCCAAACTCCGAGCTCAACTAAAATTCCCCGAACTCTGAGATTGGAGAGGAGCGAACGAGGAGTCCTCGGAAGCGCGGTCGGTGAGTCTCTCAAATCTAAAAATACTCATTTTCCATCGGCGGGTTTCTAACGTTAAGCGCGAAAATACCCCGCGACCCTCTCCTCTCTTGTCGTGTGAGACCATATGACGCCCGTCGACCACGGCTCGCTCACGGAGAGACCGAATCTCGCGCGTGGGACAGTCCATCATGCCAATCGTCGGTCAGGAACAAATCTGGGGAATATATTCGAGTCCAGGCTTCAGGCGGGTCTATCGTCATCTCGTCCTGCACAGCGAGAGAGAAGGACTTAGGTCCGATCTCAGTCAGATCAAAATACTTGGAGACGTTTGTGTGGGCCTTCCACTCGTTCGTCGGACGTCACCTCTTCCGTGTACTTTGCAACGCCTTCCCAGTGCTACCTTCTGGTGCATGCTAATTATTCACGCACGTTTCCCGTTGCCCGGGTGTCTAAATGCGTGATTTTTAGTCGGTCGCGTGCTCAACGATTTCAAAGCAACACCGGGATCTCCTATCGTCTGCTGTTATTCTGATGACGCAACAGACTCGAAGGAGGAGACGATTCTACTCGGGAAGGGTGCCTCGGTTTCCAGCTCAGGAGAGCGCCCCGCTCTACGTCACGCGAAGGAGCGACTCCCCGGGGGAGGGGAAGCACGACGGAGAATTCCGCATTGGGAGAACAGCCGGTCTCGAAGCGGTCTCAAGGGTGAGACGAAGTCTACATTCGTCAGAGTTTGGACCTCGTCTCCGATTTCTCCGCATTGGTAGAGGCCTAGGGTTTTCTTACCCGCCACTCGACCAGAGAGCTACATTGATCAGCTAGCTCCGAGACTTCGCCTCAGTCAGAATCTGCCGTCGCTCACTTGGTAGGAAAACCGCTCTGGATTACTCATGTAACTCGTCATCATGCCGGCTGTCACGGCAGACAGCTTGCACGGATACAAGGGCGGGAGCAATCGTGTACTTACATGAGATCTATTTATATCGGACATGAGGTTTGCTCACAATCAGTGGATTTTTTTCTGTTGGCAGGCTTCCATCGGAGCGAGTCATTTTTTTCTCCCGCATGGAAAGTCTCCCTCCGAGACGTTCGTTCTCCTCAGGCGAATTCTAAAACATGTGGCTATATCGGAGAGCCGCGGTCACGTAAGTGATGAGTGATGTGATGGTCCGGCGTGTTATCCATCCATGAATAGAACTCATATTCGAGTATTGATTGATCGGATTACGTCAATGCGGGTTGCTCCGTTCCGTAAGCACTCGAACATCACACGTCATAGAGTCCTGCAGATTATTCACAATTCAGCCTCCACAGTCCATGATACCGGATCGCATGGTTTGGGCATGCATGAGCGCTCCGACAAGCTACGCGATTTTTACATTCGATTCTTCCCAAGGATTCCTCGAATAATTTTCGAAGTATCCTTCAATTCTCGGCTATCTTTTCGAAGGGATCATCGTTAATTGTTAGCGGAGAGCGATAGAGATCATTCGCGTGTCTCTTCCCGAACGAGGTGACCGGCTCGGAAAATGCCAAAAAAAACACTCGCGTTCGCGGCCGTCCTCGACAGCGGGAATCCACAAGCGCCGCGCTCCTCGCAAAATCAGCGCGGGATATTTTTCCGACCTGATTTCAATCGTCCACTGTCTACGTCGCTCTCGACCCCGCTGGAAAATGATTGGTCTAATTTCAAAGCAATCGTCGAATTCTCTGAAGCTCCGAATTCCTCCAATCTCACTGAAGGCAACTACGGCCCAAGTTAAGACACCGGGACAAAAGATATCCCCGTTCGGGTTCCTCGGTCTGCCGGTGTACGACGGCTCCATCGACATAATTCCTGCGTTGCGCCGGTTGTCGCCGGGAAGGACATCGTGGATGAGGACGACGAGGATGCAGCTCAGGTTTTCACCTACGTCGATGAATCAGAGCCTGTGAGCCCGGTTGCGAGTTCATGGAGCGCCAATGTCCTTGCTCGTTCTCAACGTCGACGGCCACAGCTACTGTCATTGTGTGCGACAACGAGTGCGTCTGGGCCCGCCGTCAAAGCCAACGTACGCACGCATGGCGCTCTTTTGGGCGAGGAAGGAAACAGGCAAGGAAGCACTCTCGAAGCTGTTGTCATCATCGCCAATCTCTTTTCCACAATGATCTCTGCCTGAGCTCACAGTGAGTGTTGCTGAGCTCTTCTCCTCCTCTGTTGTGACTGAGTGTCCGTCCATACGTCCGTGTGCCTGTCCGTCTCTCCGTCTGTCCATTCGTCTGTCCGTCCGTCCGTCCGTCCGTACGTTCTTTCGTCGGTCGGTCGGTGTGTGGTCTGACTGTCCGTCCGTCAGCCAGTCTGTCTCTTGTCTTCCTATGCGGGTGTGTTTTTCCTGGCTGCGGGTAGCTGCTGCTGCTGCTACCACTCGAAGCTAACGGTGTAGGTTGGTGATGGTGGCATCGGCTGCAGCCGCAGCAGCAACGACGACCGGAGCACCCTCTCTAGAAATCTCTATGGCAACCCTGACGTCATTGCTTCATTGCCTTCTACTTGTGTACATTCGACGACTATCATCATGTGAAATGTTTTCTCGACCCCGTGTCTTGTATAGCGAGTTCGAGTGAGCAGTACGCGGCGAAAAAAAGCAGCGGGCGTTCTCGTCTCCGCGACGGAGCTCACGGTGAGTCCCACGGTGGTAAACAGCGACGAAAACAACAACAACAACAACAGCAGCAGCACGAACTGTAGAAACAACCGACTCTATTGTAGCTGCTGCAGCTCCCGTTGCAAGTGTCGTGAAGCGACGGCCGCTGCAGCCAGAGATAGCGAATGAGCACCGCAATACCACTCCACAGCTGGCCCCTAGTGCTCCACCAGAGCTCCATCACCGACCGGTCCAAGTCTGCCTGGTGAAAACGGGACTTTTTCAGAGGCTCTCCCTCTCTGCCACTGTGGGAGCATACCTGCCGCCGAGACTTTCCCACAGGTGTAGGAACGTTTCTTGCTCGGAGCTCCGACCGAAAGCTTCTCGGTTGAGGCTTCAATCATTGATTGGCGGCTTTTCCCGGTCGGTCGTCCATTCATACGGCCCTCGGTTCAATCGCTCATTCGACTTTTCAACACACATCCTAACGGAACTCTCTCCGTACCTGGCAGCAGCAGCAGCAGCGGCAGCAGCAGTAGTATACCCATGCGCATTTAGAAAGCTAGTCAGCTGGCAGTCAGACGACTTGGAGCGCGGACTGATAAGTCAGGTCCGGAACACCCGGAAAAAGCGAGAAGCTCTCATGAGAATCGTTGAGATCTGCAGATAAGCTGCGGCGTTTGTGATCGTCTGTTGTGGTCTCGTCTGTAGTGGTCGCGTGGAGATCGTTCGTGATTCCTCACGGGAGAAACTCCATCGTTCCTGGAAATCTCTCTGGAATACTTCCGTCTACAACGTCTCTATGATATACTCCTCTCCCAATTCGTGGGTGGATCGAGCTCCTCGTGAGGGGTCCGAATCGGGGCTCTGTGAAGGATGTGTACCGTCTCGGCCGCAGTCGCGAAATTATTGACAAGACGGCAGGCAACAATCCCACAAAGTGACGATTCGAAGGTACTACACTTTTCTGCGCACCAGTAAGAAGTCCTCATCGCTGGACGATGCGCGCGAGAAATTACGTGCGAGTCGCCGGTCTCCCCGTTATAGTGTATACATGCGAAACCGGTGAATGATCCTGAGTTTATCGTTTCTCTAGCGAGGATGTTGGTGGCGGCCTTGAGTTTAGATAATACACACTTGCTGCAGCAACAGTCTTTACTGAATCTGAATTTTACTGGCATTTGGAGAACTTCCTCGAGCTAGCCACGACACGAATTCTGGCGATCCTCGTGGAGGGGTTCCCCACGAAGGCTCTTCCCCAGAAAGTTTCCTTGATAGACGTCAATAGACGGAGTTCGCGCGCCGCCGTCGAAGGTGCTGCTGTTCGGCCCTGCTATTCATGAATTCCCTCCCATGTCTTTCGAGAGTGTTCTTCTAATCAGAGCGCTTCGCGGCGAATTGTCCATCGCGATTAGATTCGCTTGTTGTCCTTGTTGTTAGACTGGCCGAGATTCAACTGTTGGTCAACAACAGCGATGCCCCCGCCTCGGTGGTGCTCATTGACTTCATGAATTTAGATTGGCTACATTAATTACTTGATTGGCTTTGTATTACGATGTCGAGCGAACGACACATCGTCCTTGACTCACTCAGATCTTACAGCGAAACCTTACAATACATGCAGAACAGACGACCATTGCCTAAGATCCCCGGGAACTTCATAACAACCCGCTCGTGGCAGAACGTTCGTGTTGCCTTCCTCTGAGGGCGTTTGCGTAAAAGATTGTTTTTCCCGCATCAAGATTCACTCGTTTCCATTCTTTTATCGGGAAGTCAATTCAAAACATGTTTTCCCACATTGAATGACTCAGCCACTACCAAAAACTCATCGCAAGATGAAAATTAAATCGGTGTCGGAATTTCTCTCATATTACGGAAAGTAATTTCTGGTTAGCCGTGTATCTTCTGGAAGCCTCTAAGGGCGTTCGCTGTAGTCTTCAGACGTCGAGCCGGAGTATCGGGTGTCGAATCGTCTTCGTAACGATTCCCTCAGCTCTTCCCTTGGACATCCGCGTCAATTGTCTGTGGCTAATGGGGCCTTTTATTGCATTTCAGGTGAATTCCGTGAAAATGGAATTTTAATTGGTTTTGCTCGTCCAGAGTGCACCCGTTCACCGCGAGCCCTTCTGCCCAACTTAAATCTCACAGCATGAGCTCTCCTCAACATCGGCCACCGACTTCAAGTCCAAATCACAACCGGTCGTTGGTCCGAGTCGGCTACTATGAAATCGGCAAGACAATTGGCAAAGGGAATTTCGCCGTCGTGCGTCTTGGAACGCACATCGTCACTCAAACCAAGGTACGTACCCACAAAGAGCTCTAAGCTACCGCCATGACGGGCGTCGAAACGCATTATCGCGGATATCTGTGATCACACGAGTGAGAAACAGAACACGATCTGTTCGTTCTTCTGCATTTCTCTGCCATTGGAGCATCGGTGACGTCTAGAGTCGCAGCTTTTACGTCACAACCGAAGACATACATATGACCCAGACACATGTGCGTCCATTCGGGCCAGCCAGCAAGGCAGGGAGATGACGGAAAACTACGCTTCTTCTCATTCCAACTCGATTCTCATTTCTTTCTCCCGATTGTTTCCGATAAAAAATAAGAGGGTGTGTATCCGGACAGCCCAGTCGGTTGGGAGCGGAGGCCCGTCCGATTTTCAAGGACTGGGGAGTAGTCCTCCGTTCTCTGCGTGACTCTAGAGAGAAATAATCTCTGGTCTGCATCGCGTGTCACACAATATGGAAGTCACATACTAGATGACGCTCCTGCGGGTGAATCATAGGGTTGTTGTCATGATTACATTGCGAGCTTACGCTTTTTTTTATCCTCGGCGGGCGATTCTGCCACTGTTGCAATATGGGCCGGTTACCCGTGGGCGAGCGAGGAATAACTACGCAAACAGGCCGTCGTGGACGATTGCGTGGGCCTTCATTGATCTCTCAAAGACGTCCCGCCCTGAGGAATTTCACTGTCGAGTGGTTCTGTACAGTTGCGATGCGATGCTGGAATTATTGTGTCAGGGCGGGCTTAATGATATCCTCGAACGAGCCACGGAACGATTCAATTATGGAGTTGGGGAAAGAAATTATAAAATGCCGTAAAGCATCTTCAGTCTGCGATGCAGAGCTATCTCCCAATGGAAGGGAGGCTCCGAACTTCTGACACTCACTTTTAAGAGGGAACAATTCCAGACTGAAGCGTGTCGAATACTTTGTTTTAAGCTGCCTGTCAATACAATTTTATGACTGCCTCGGGGTCTCGTCAGATTACATTCGGCACAGTTTATTTTGGAATTTACGGTTTTGACAGGAGCGATTGTCCGTGAAAGTTGTCCGTTCTCACCGCCGCCACCACACCGCGCTAGACTGAGTCTGTGACAGGGAACCTCCAGAAGTAGCTTTAAGAGAAGTCCAGAGAGTTTTGCTCTCGGTTCAAACTTCGCATGCGCAAAATAGCGTCTCGATTTCTGCTCTGGTGTTAAGACCCTGAACGATCAGGACGGTGCTGAGGTGCATGGTCTCCCCTTGGATTCTCCCGACCCATCATGTACATAATCTTCCAGGTGGCGATCAAAATCATTGACAAGGGTCAGCTGGACGAGGAAAATCTGCAGAAAATTTTCAGAGAGATCCAAATCATGAAATTGCTCCGACACCCTCATATCATCAAACTGTACCAGGTGAGTAGAAGCTGTCGAAATACTTGGTTGGATTTCCGCAGCGTGAACCGCAGTCAAAACGCTGAACAAAAATTTCACGCTCGGAAGACTTTCGGACCTTCACGTAGATGCTGGTTCACCAGAAGCGAGGTCCTTCGACCGCGGAAGCCGAGCCGAATAGAAGTAGCCGTGTTGTCCCCATGATTGATACTTGATACCACTCGATAGAAGGGGTGGGAATCTGCTTCCAGGCCTAAATCTGGCTGACTTGAATTATTCTCGATGAAGGAAACACTTCCGCGGGAGAGTTCAGGATAGTCCAAAAATCCACAAGTCCGGCGCCGGCCACCCGTGCGAAATTTTCCTATCCGTGTATCGCTTCCTTTCGATTCAATTCCGTGAAGTTCCTCTTGTGGACGGACAGATCTCGGGTTTGAGATCGACTTCTCGTGGAAGTTCCCGTTTGCGTCTCCTTCCGGGTCGCCATCAAGGATCAGTGAGGGTATCCGTTGGTTCATGCAAGAGTTCCCTCGACCCTCGACGACTCGGTTCGAGCCGCCGGTGAAGTATACCGACAAATGTACTGGACCCAGCTTTCATCCGTGCAATCGCACTCGCTTCTTGAATCTGCTCCCGGTAGCTGTCTTCCTCTGGTGTGACGTGAAGTTTTGCTCCGTGCGGGTCTGCAAAAGAGGAGATATCAGAACGACGGGCCCTTAAAAGGTCCGGGCTGCCGAAGTGGCATCCGTGACCTTTGATGCAGCGCACCCCTGGTTCGTGCCGCTGCCAAGTCCTTCGACCTGCAGGCTGAGACATTCTGATCCAGAGAACGTCTGGCTGCCGCGGGTCTCTGGGAGTTCTCTTGAAATCTACGGATGAAGCTCGGTTCGTGCTGAAATCCGATCTCTATGAAGTCATACTCCGCAACACTGTATCGCGATCAAGTCTATGAATAGTCTACGATATTTTGAGCACACTTATGTACTTGCCCCAAGATATCCTATCCGGAGCGCCTATCGATTTCAAAAAGTTATCTTCCGGGTATCCATCCAACCATCAGACCGAGGAAGAAATGATCTCTCGGGAAGCTGGGTTCATGCGTCTCGTCAAAAAGAATTGAAAACGAGTCTCCTGATTGAGCCGCATCTCGGCTCCGTACGTTCATTGAACGCGGCCTGCACTCGGTGAATGATCGTTATATTACTACGTTTTGCGTTGCCCGCGGAGTAATCTGAGGAACCCATGCTCCAGCCTCCGAGAATAGCAACAGATAATCCTGCAGAGCATCCTCGATGAATCGACTCGCGCCGGCCAGGATTCGCACCGCGTTGGACCGAATCGATGTCCTTTACGTTTCGTGTGGACATCTTCATCCGAAAGACGAGATCCCCATTGCTGGCCCGTTGCAATGGCGGAATCTTTCGGTGGAAGAGAATATCTCCCAGCCTAGACCGACTCTTTCACCATCGCCACATCTGAAATCAGGGATTCTTCCCAGACGTTCCTTATTCCTCTGTCTGTATCACAGGGATTAAGGTGCGGTGGCTCTTGTTCGCATTTGGAATAATGAACTTCAGGCTTGGCTTGCTCAGGTATCCTGGAATAATGCGGAGGAATGTGGAGCCGAGAGGAAGAAGGTGGAGAGTTTTCGTGACGAAGTCTCCGGAATGGAACACTGTAATCAGATCGAGAGCCTCCATCCAATTCCCACCCTCGAGCTCGCTCCATCGAGTCGGGACTCAATCACGGATTAACTAGTCGAGTTCTCGTGAGAACCACAAATGGAAGTCTCCTCGGCGAATATTGGTATAGATCTTTGGATGACCTTGGTGAATTAGGGACAAGGAGTAAGTAATTCCTCCTGATTCCGAGGAGGCAGCGGGGTGGAGGGTTTGTGAACTCCGTCTGGGGAGCAGTCTCTAACAGAATAATTTCTATCGGCGTGTCTCAAAATCAATCCGTTCATTCAGTGAAGCCCACGAATTCACTGACTTCCGCCAGACACGTGGCTAGACAAGCGTAAATCGGAGCTGCGTGCGGAGGAGCCTGGCTACAGCCACCGCTGGATGTAGAGATCAATAGGAATGACGCACACGCTCCGTTTGCGTCAGCATGGGGTTTTGAAAGAATCGTGCTCGTGCTCGCTTGCCCGGTTGGTTGGCTGCCTGTCTCTCCCGCTTCTGCCGCTGCTGTTTGCCACCTCACCCTCCAAATTCTCTTTCTCTCTCCGGACTCTCCTTCTCTGGACGTCTGGGTGGAGTCTCCCGTGAGATAGCGGTAATCGGTAGAGGAATTTCATCGCCGCTGCCCCCCCTCCTCATCGGATGAAAATCGATTCTCCCATCCATGCTGTATCTAGAAGACTTCATTTCCTGACATGCCCGCAGATACTCGATGATTCGATGAAACAATAGCCCTCGTACGAACTGATAATCGCGGTAAACTTTCACTCGTCAGTCAGGCAATTATTTCACTCAGTTGGCAATGGTTCGGTTCACTGCGTGACCGTACGCCAAACGATGCTCGAAATCATAACGGAACTTCTGCTGGTAACTTCCAGTCCGTCATGGGTGTTATTGAAAGAGACTTCCGTACTCTCCCTTGAGACGGACAATCGACGGGGATGAGAGGAGAAATTACGAAGTTTGCTCTATTTTCCAGGTCATGGAGAGCAAGCAAATGATCTACCTGGTCACAGAATTCGCACAGAATGGTGAAATATTCGATCATCTCGTCGATAAAGGACACATGCAAGAATCCGTTGCCAGACAAAAATTCCGACAGGTACTGAGATTCACCGTATATTGCTCGAAACATCGGAATGCTGATCCATCGGGCTGGAACTCGGCCCCCAGTGAAAGCGTTCAACGCATTCTCCCTTCCAATGCAGATCGTATCAGCCGTGAAGTACTGCCACGATAACAACATTGTGCATCGGGACCTAAAAGCCGAGAACCTCTTACTCGATCAGGACATGAATATCAAAATCGCCGATTTCGGCTTCAGTAACTTCTATACGCCTGGAGCACCATTAGGAACATGGTGTGGCAGTCCCCCGTACGCTGCTCCCGAGCTTTTTGAAGGTCGAGCCTATGACGGACCTAAAGCCGATATTTGGGTATGCGATTCCACAGTCTATCAACGCGCACAAAGCCTCTCGTGGGCTATCACAGATGATACCGATCGGATGCCCAACGTTCTGATGGTTGCGAATGCCTTCGATTATTTTTCAGAGTTTGGGAGTCGTCCTCTATGTTTTGGTGTGCGGCGCTCTTCCATTCGACGGCAGCACACTACAGATTTTGCGGTCGAGGGTACTATCAGCTAAATTCCGGATACCTTATTTCCTGTCAACGGGTGAGTTGCCTCTAAGGAATGAATGAATGGGAGGTACAAAAGACGGATTCCAGGGCTCTCTCGCCTTGTTATAGACTACTTGCTCTTCGGAGTGATGTAAACTTGAAAGTATGATTGTTGGCGGACTCTCTGCTGCGTATATTTTTGTGGAATAAATGTTAAGAAAACTCGAGGGTTGGATAGGAGTTCAGAGGTTGAATAGCTCCGTGAATCCGTTAAAGGTAAATTCAGGAGTTTTCTCGGAAGCGAGACAAGACGAAGTCGCTCGGACTCGTCAGAGGGATTAGAGTTAGCTAGCTGGGAACGTCCGATGGATGACATAAAGACATATTCAAAAGTAGAACCACTTTATTTATTATTGGACGCTATTTTCTATATACATGTACACAGAGTCGGGGTTCTCATTCTCGGGCTTTCCTACTCGAACACTGTTTGCGGACTTTGTCAATTTGAAACTCGCCGCGTCCTCCTACGAACAAGAATTTGGTCGTCTCCGATCTCACCGATTTCATGCGGCCGCTGCGAACGAGAGAAAGTCGGAGGCTATCGATCGACTTTCGGAAACTGAAACCCGAGACACGGGAAATCGGAGGCGGGTAAATGTGCAAGTGGTGGTAAAACTCAATTCTTTTCAACATGGTTTTGGTAGAAGTGGTTGTGGTAGTTTTTCTGCCGCTCTTGCCGACGCATCTCCTCCTGCGGTCGGCATCGGGAATCACGCTCGGACTCCCGCAATTCAAAAGATTCAATCGACTCCAGTCACTTATATTAAACGCCCCCGCGTAACAGAGTTGCGGGAATTGCTCGCGACCCTGGCTCGGCACGAGCTCCAAGGATATTCTCCGCGTGCAGGAAAAATCGTGTCTTCAAGTGGAAGTTTGCTCGGACGCCCCGAATCCAGATGGAAAGACAATAGTTCACCCATGCTTCGTCTGTATGCGCGTCATCAATAGCAACGCCAGCGTATGGGATTTTATGCAGCGCGATGGACGCGTGATTCTCGGAGCGTCGCCATCACATGCACGAACGGATTCCTCTCTCGCAAGGCGATATGTCGGAAACGACGACGACAATGGATCAGAGGGGGACCTCACCGATTGTCAGTTCAATCCAGTACTTGTGAGGGGAGATCCAGACGCTTCCTCCGTTTTATTCGGAATATATACTCATATATAAATATGTGTATATATTTGTGTATCACTGCCAAGTGTTTTTCGTGGAGTTTGCGGCCGCGTGCTGCTCGGGCGAAAAACATTCTGGATTTCTGTAAAGTCCCAAAAACAGCCTCATTAGACAAATGGATTGGAGCGGCCACGTGACGCGACGTGCCGGGACACGGATCGAGGGCCGGATTAAATTATTCGACACATGAAATTTTCCGCGCCCCACGAAGTACCGAGCTCCGGCGACACGCTCTCCCGCCCACCTGGGCAGAAACCCAGGAATGAGCCCTTGTCTGGCAGGAGATCCCGAGAAACTTGAGTTCTTAGAAAAATATCGAACCTTCAAAACATTTCCATCGCTAGATCCGCGTTCTCCTCAGGTTCACTCTGACTAGTCTGAGTCCGACACAAGCTGTTTGCGCTTCTTTCTAGGAGGTCTGGGCTTGCTGGTTTCCTCCTCAGTGCTCGAGTCGTATTCAGTATCTGAGCCATCTTCGGACTTCTCTTTTTTCGCTGAGCCGCCAACAGCTTTTTTCTGAGGCGATGATGAAGACGAAGACGTAGTGTTGCCTCCGCCGCCGCCGCCGCTGCCACCACTACCCCCGGCGCCGCGTTTCCCGCGATTCGAGCTGCGCGCTTTCACTTTTTCCTTAACGGGCGGAACCTCCTCGTCCGAATCGTTGGCAGCCAGCGCGAATAAGTCCATGAATTTGCTTCGTTGACTCTCTGTGGCGGCCACCTTTGCATGCTGCAGGGCACTATGGAGAGGCTCGGTGCTGAAGAAATCTGTGTTGTCTTTGCATTGCTTTCGCAATTCATCCATATGGAGGAAAGCCTGTTGCGTACACTGTTGGGCTTGGCTCTTTGTCTGACGTTTCCGTTTGTTGCCTCCTGCGGGGGAACGCACTCGGAATAAGAATCTGGAATCGACCTATCGCATACGAGAGAAAGTACGGAAATGACTCTGGATCTAAAGTATTCGAATCATGGGAATAGGGGACCCGGGGAATGAGATACACCGCGCAGTAGAGCAAGCTTGGAGGTATTTACCTTTTTGGGGAATCACCATGGTGGCAAGAACGACGGCGAGTACATCGGCGCACAGAATCGCCCAATGCTTCAGGAGCGACACGACGAACGTGTCCTGAGGTTGAAGCTCCCGCGCGAACAGGACCTGCATTAATTCCGCGGTGGGTTTCTGGGCGGCGAAGATGAGCATCACGTAGTTGCATGCCTCTTGGTGACTGACAAAATTCAGCAACGGTACCAGTGGATACAGCCACTCCACTTGAAAACGATGAGCCTGGAGAAGATTCCAGAAGGCCATTTGTTCGAAGGTCTCCCAATGTAGCGAGGCCTTGGCCAACGGGAGGAAGTTGTCCTGGTTCAGCATGGTCAGATCACCCTGGAGACATTGACAGCACAACTGTTTCAGCTGGGTCGGATCGATGATCGAAAGTACGAGGTGCAACAATTTTGAATGGCCTAAAACCGCAGACGTATACTGCGAGTACACTTCTGGCACTAGGAAGCACAGAAGGCGAGCGTTATTTGTCTGCTCACAAATAGCGAGGTCGTCGTTCAGGGCTTCTTCGAGATTGAGTTTCGAATTCCTGGCGATAACAAGTTCCCGGTACGCGTCCTGGTCCAATTCTCGATTTAAATACACTCGGATCACTCTTTGGTAAAACAATAATAACAGCGATAGCTTCGGCTGATATTGGGAGATCTCCACAAGGATTTGCAGCTGCGTCTGCCGCGATTGATTCTGACTGCTCGGTGACGTTTCGCAGAAGCTGCGCAAGAGAACGAAGAGAGGCGTGCCGATCGCGTCTTCGAGGCTGTCTTTGTTGATCTCTTCGGGGAGAACATTGCGTTGGAATTCGTCGCTCAGAATGTGCGAAAGACAACTGCCGAGTTTCTTGGCCAACGTGCGATCGAAGACCTCGCATTCGACGGTGTCCTGGACGAGAGTTTCGATCACATTGCACTGGACCTCGGTGTCTCTTTCCTTTTGCAGTTGTGTCATGTGCATCTTGAACGGCTCAGGCAGGCTGTCGAGGAATTCATCCAGAGCCGGCGGGGACGGACTCTTGTCGTTGTTGACAACGAGGCAGTTCACCGGAGCGGGGGGAGCGCCTTTCGGCTTGCCGTCGTCGTTGAGCTTCGTGACGCCCGCCGCCAAGCGTGCCTCTTGCTTAAGTTTGGCGATACTTGCGATTTCCACTTTGACGTCGGGCTTGATAGGTCTGAACACGCCGTTGCTCTCGTCTTCTTCGTCGGAGAATTTCGCGGCGTCCGTGACTTTGTCCCGATTCACAATGACAGGAGTACCGTCGACGATTATCGGGTGGATCGGGGCCGCTTGCGCCACCCCCACGACTGGACCGTCGTCGACGATGAGAGGCCGTCTCGGCTCGGGCGTGTAGAAATCGCCGAAATGTTCGCGAACCATGAGCTTGAGGTCGTTGTCAAGTCTGGGATTATCGAACATCGGCGCCAGGGAGCCTAGGACCCGCTTTTCTAGAATGGCTCTGAGCGACGCGTGAATTCCTTGACGGATCTTCTCGCCGAGCGGTCGGTGGAACTCGCGCATGATCCGGATGAGGAAATCCCACAACGTGGCCGTAATATGGGCGTGAGCCGGCCGCAGCGACGAATGGAACATGACGAGGATGGCCGGCTCGATGTACATGATGTTGTCTTTCTCGGCATCGAAAGTGAGCCAGTCGAAGAACAGAGCCAGCTTGCAGTTTGCGGCCTCGACGTTCGACGGACACGTCGACAGCAGCCATCCAATGATAGCCCAGCGAGGCAGGATTTCCGAACATAGAATCTCGTTCGACGGATGAATTATGCAGCAGATGAAGCGGATCAAGTCGCAGCGTATCGACTGCGCCTCGGGAGTCGATAAGTACTGTTTGAGGAACCAGTCCTGATACCGTCGCTGGTGTCCCAACCTCACCTGGTGCGTCATGAAACTGAGTTTTCGTTCCATGTCGGGCGTCACCCTGGACATGAGAAAACGCCGCGGGGTGCGCGTGGCTAACAGTTGTGCGATCCCGCCGGACAACGACGCGCAGAGAGCGGTCGGTTGCTCGATCAGGGTTCTCCAGATCGACTCGAACTCGGGAATCCGCGACACGCATTGCAGGGCCCGCACGAGGTCGCGTCCGATCATGGAGCATTCCTGGAACTTTTCCCGTAGCGTTTTCGCACAGAACTCCACTTCGCGCTGACGGATGTTGGCGAAGCTCGATGGGAAATGATCGACGATAAGCCGCAAATACGTGTAGACGCTGGTCGCCAGCAAAATCGGATGTCTCTCCAGCCAGAGCGAATGTTCGCACAGCGTGTCGAGAACCGCTTCACAGAGCCACAGGTTCTTCGGGCTCAGGTCTCCGCCCTGGATTTGTCGAAGGAGGTTCAGGAATACGTTGTCGGTCCCCGGGACCGAGTTCTTGATCAGCTCTCGGCACAACCAAATTAATTGTGTGCGAGCCACGTCGCTCAGTTTGGCGTAATGTTCGATCATGAAAACAAGCGGACTCGAGAGGAACGACTGCAGACCGTCCCTCGTGACCAGTGTAAGGTCTCTGTAGTAGCGCGACGCCAGCTGAGGTTCGAGTAGGATGAGGGCGAGCAGTCCGTTCGAGACCTCTTCGTGGCCGTGTGGAGTTCGGCACACGTGTTGCGTGAGTCCTTCGATGGCGTCGTTTTCCGACACGTTCTGCGTAATCGACTGAACCAGGGCCATGCCCTGATCGAACTTCTCCTCGTTTCCGGATTCATCTCGATCCAAGGCCGTGCTGATCAAAATTCGCGAACTGGCCGAAATCGTCGCCGGCTGTGATATGCTCGTAGCTGCACTCATTTGATCGCGCTTCTCTTCTGCTTGGGAACACGAGCGACCTTAGAAGGCAAGAGGACCAACGACCGACCGAACGCACGACTGTCGTCACCGGCTCTCCGTCACGGAGGTCCTTCACGAGGAACGACCGAAGCTAGAGCCAGCAAGCGTGCCGCTCTGGCGCAGCTCACCGGGTTGGTCGGCTTGTCAACGGCCTCCTCCAATTGCTGCTCTGGGTCGGTTTAGGTTCACATGGCTCTGACGAGCTTCACTCGTGGTTCCCCCGTTCTTTCCAAAACGTCGTCTCGCACAACGACGTGCTCCTCAGGCGTGATTTCGAAGCGATCCGCCTTCGTAGCGACGGCAACGGCGTCTCTTTTTAGCAACAAGCGGAAACTCAAGCCGCACTAGCAGCGGATATCGACGGCGCTCCGAGAGCAGCCGCACGTCGAACAACACTGCACGGAATGCCGCTTCGACACGAAGAATTGTTCCCTATCCTGCCGGCGACGACGAGCACTGTCGATCGCTCCCAACACTCTTACCGACTCGTCGCAGGAATTAAGCTCAGGTAGAATGGTCCGGCAGGATGGCCCGGTAGGATGGTCTGGCAGGACGATTCGCAAGGACGATAGATGAGGACGAGCTCTCCGGGCTTGCCGCTGACTCCTTCGCTGGCCGATGGCCTCGGCAAGAAACGAACGACGAGCTCGTTGACGACGGCCAAAGGCGACACTTATCGCAGCGGCCGTAGGACGTTGAGTGCAACAGCCGACGGCGACAGTAGAAAGAAAGAACTTTATGATCGTAGAACACACTCTTTGTCTTTTTCCATCGTGAGGATCATGCTCGACATGGGTCGCGAGAAGAGTAAGGCCGCAGGGCAACCGCCGGCATCGAACAGACCACTCGCCGACTATACGCGGTCGCTGCTTTGATGTGCTCTTCGTTCTTCTTGCGGCGGTGCTAGCGGTAGCAGGAGCGGCGGTCTTGTTGACACACACGAGACGACGACGACCCCGACCAATTCAGCAGACGAAAATTTAAAATTCTACTGATGGGAAAGGAGGCGAGCGGTAGATACAAGACACAGCTGGGGTAGCTGTTCGAGCTCCCACACACCCGTTGTTATTCCCTGCAGCTTGTCGTCTGCTTCTGCCGCCGTTGGTGGAGCCGCTGCTGCTCCTGCTGCTACGGCGACTACCCGCGCGCCTCCTTCTTTGCACCACTCACGCTTACTCACCCTCAAGCACGGTAGTCCCACCGCTTGGGGGGAGAGGGTAGAAAACGAGCGATCGAGTGGATGGAGAACGTGGAGGAGAAGGAGGAGAGGGGCACCACCACGAACCACCATACGCACGACGACGGCGACGACAGAGAGCCGCGGCAGAGAAATTGGTCCCCAGGGGGCGCAGCGGTCGCCCGGCGATTCAATTCAAACGGTTGGCGGGCTAGTCCAAGAGATGGTGAACAGTCGAAGGCCGCCGCACGAATGAGAGGCGGCGTTGCCGTCCGACGCCGAATGGGAGCCCTTTCCCAAAAAAGGGTAAGAGGAAAAACTCTCAGTCAGTCGCGGCGCTATCCGGCGGCAGCAGCAGCAGCGGCCACTCAGCATAACCGCGGTGTCAACGACGGTCGATGTCGCTGCCAAAGCGAGCGGATGCAGGGAGTTCAGTTCGCTTCGAGAGGCTGCTTGGGACGGTCACGGAGACTTGTTGTGCTGTTCCGATGGACTACGAGTTCCGATGGCCCGATTCCCGATTCATTGGAGTCGGAGTAATCGATTCTCGAGTCGGTTAGCGACGCCTTTCCAAGGCGAATCGAAACGGGTGACGTAAGACCTTGCGGTCGGTCTCGCGAAACGAAATCCAACGGAATGGTGCTGTTTGTCAATGTGGATCGATATCGTTGCTGGATACTCGACATGCTCGGCCTATATCGATGTCGCTTTGCGGAAATGTTGAGCTGACATCGAGGTTCAACATTTACGCATTTCCTCCATGGGAGATGCGATGTTAAATATCTGGGAGCGTGAGCGGCCTTCTCTTCATGCTTATTTTTGTGGAGGGAAAGTGAATTTTCGACTCAGGGACGCTGTTCGCTTCCGTTCGGTGACAGCGAGTCTCTGGACTTAGTCCCTCTGTGGGAAATGTCTGATACAGGTGGGAACTATCAGGGGCGACTCTATAAATTCTGCGAAGTCTGCAAAGTTCGCGACCATGGACAGCGATACAAGAGTTCAACGACCAGCCATCGTTTTAGGTTCAGAGGCATCTCGAGGGAATCTTAATCGAAGACAAGGAATCGTTCCTGCCCCTTTGATTTTCTGATCGGGTTCAATGCATCTTGTTCTTTGGGAGGGCGAGACAGCTCGATATCTTAGAGATCGGTCGGCCGCAGCCTTAAAGGTCAATCGACAATGTTCGAACGGAGGAATTATCGGAAACCAGCGACCAGGGCGGACATAATGTAGCGCCATCTGCCCGGTGGTAGTAAGTCCTCTCTCTTTCCCTCTAGAATGCTCTCAACTTGGTCCCTCAACCGTCTGTTGCCAAGCAATGCGTATTCCTCCTCCTCCCCCACCCTCAAAAATGACAGCTCCTGACAGGCTCCGAGCTCGAAGGATCTCCAACTTTGATATACGTAGGTGGTCGCGCTGGCGGAGTCTCCCTGACTCTGACTCATTCCGTCAGATTGACTGGAGACTTGCCGACCGATTCCGAGTTTCTTCCCCAATCAAAGGAGATACCTGTGTTCTCCTCGGCGTGTCACATGGAGAGATCAAGGAAAGCAAAGCAAGATATTCCTGAGCAACCGGATTGGTTTTCGTTTTCCCGGATGTATGCGGGAGACCGCGACGAAAAAACACGTATGTTCGAGCAGAGCGGGGTCTCAGACCTCCTCCGGTCAGCGGGCAGCAATGATTCTGAATAGTTGGCTCACGCTCCTACCGCTGCCCTGGGGTCCAGTCAGGTAGTTTTCTTCCGAAAGGAATCAGTACACGGTGGATAACCGGGAGGCCTTCGGCCTACTCCTGCCGGAGACTCCCGCTCTCCGCACGGAGAGCGCTACGGCGGTCCTTGATGCTCTCGTTGTTTGGGATATCTATGTGTTCTCCTTGCTCTCCTTCGATAGCGAGTTCTCTTCGAGTTCTTCAGGATTGTTCCCCAACGTCGAGTGAAACATGGGCTTGTACGAATTCACTCGTCCGAATTAGTCAGCTGTCGATCCGCAAGTGCCGCCCGGAACGGATGCGACTTGCCTCTCCCGCTGTTTCTGCGGCTGGTGCCAGCGAGTCGCGGGATCTTTGATGCTCTACTGCGCGAAATCCTTGATCGGCGGCCTTCGCCGACTCTAGACGTTCTTTCAATAGTACGCAAAATGACTCGAGCTTCGTCCTTGGGAGAGCGCAGAAGATCGAGGGTTGAACCCCGAGGAGTGCGGGGTCATTAATCGACATTCGCACGACTTCGTACGGATCGATCCATGAGAAAATCGTCCTGCGCAGAGCTCTCTTTCGGGCTCCTCGGAGAGAACAGCGCCTCGTCGCCACTAATCGTTTCCTCACCCCGCTCCATATTCCGAATGCGGAAGTTCGCCCTCGATTGTTCGCTCACCGCAGGGTCCGATCCATATTATGTATTTGGAATGTACAATAGTTGACACTCCAATTAGGAAGCGAGCAGACACCCATGGGAATCGCTGATCTTCCCCTGATCCGGCGTCGGCTATGGTCTATCCGCCTATACCTTTCGTCGGCCAGCAGCAGTCGGGCGCTCCCCGAGGAGGATCCGATTTTCACAAGAGTTATTCTTCCGAGCTTGGGAAGCACAATCAGCCCGAAAATGTCGGTCTCCCCAACCAGCGCGACCGAGCGAGAGCTGGATGAGGCTCGGGCAAACGAATCGGTCGGGATTTACTGAGAGCTAAAAGGAGTGCTGTTGTGTATTTATAGCTCGCTACGTGTATTCAGCCTCATAGATTCCGCCGCTATGAATGGTTGCGACTTCGCTGCAAGGTCTGTTCAATTGGATGAGTGGTCTTGCCCTGAAACAACAGAGGTTGGCCGCAATTTAGTTCTGGGGAGCTCTCCGAGAGCAGATTCACACGCTCTCTGTTCACTCGTATTGACTTTCGTGCCGGATTGAAATAATTATCATACACGTGCCCAGCAACTCTTGAACCTCGACGAAAGCGTTAAGGGTAGAGGGACAATGAGGCTGGCGGGAATCCGGGAAAGCCTACGGAACGTGAATGGGGAGTCGTCATCGCTACTACGGATTATGAATGATTTTCCTAAGAGCTGTCAGCCTATGATCGCTGCCTTGTGCATGGAAAGATGGAGGGACTATCTGGAGGGACTATCTGGAGGGACTGTCGTTGGAGGTTGGAGGGACCTCTGACCCGAACCAAGGTCGACACGGATCTTCGGCGCCGTTCGACTGGGGATGCGGGAAAGAGGATTTATCCGGGGAAGAAGACGCTACCTGAGCTTATGATCTCCGTCCACGATCTAACGCAGATTCGTTTCTCCCTCTCTCGCCGACAGCCTGTGAAGACCTCATAAGACACATGTTGGTTATCGATCCGGAACGTCGCTATACAACAGAAGAAATTTTCCAGCATCATTGGATGCACGAAAAAGTCAGTACGCCGTCGTCGCCGTGTTTACAAAGCCAGAATTCTGCGAGCTCCGACACGGGAAGCGCTTCCTCAGATGAAGAAAATGAGCTCATCATCGAGCACATGCTGCAAATTCCAAACTCAACCCGGGACGACATCATAACTTCCGTCAGAGTAAGTCCTCCCTTCGCTCAAACCCACTATCCAAGAACGTATTGACGACGTATCCCGCTCGGCAGTTCGATTCCAATACGAGAGGGAGTAGACGGGTCTGTATTGTGCTTGCGGGCCGATTGAGCTTTCCCACCGGAACTTCAATTCCTCCCCGGTCGATTGAGAAATCGGAAAGCAACGGGCCCTATACAGAGGAATAACCCTCATCCGATCGAGCTCGTTCTCAATCGGACGCGTACAGCTCTGTTTCATGGGCGCTGCGTTGTTCGCGTCGTTAAATATATGTACAAGTTCCACAAGTTCCAATGTCTCCGTCAACATCGAAAAATTACATCCACAGTGAGATGAGGGACAATTTTTTCGCGAGCACGCTGCGGGAATTCTCGGGGCGAAAAATTTCGCGGAGGGATCGGATGCCTATCATCGGATGCGAACTGAAAAACTTCTTCCTTCCCTCGTGTACAGGAAAATCGATTCGACAACTATGCAGCAATTTTCCATCTTCTGAAAGAGAAACTCCGGTCGGAGCCGATGCAGACGCTCCTCCCAGTTGTAGCATCGCATCAAAGGAAATCCAGCATTACCACGGGCGTCGGTGAGTTTCGCGTAGGTACGGAGTGGTACGGCAGTGCCAGCCATGGCTGGATCATTGTGAATGATTCGCCAGCTTCCCTGCAAGTGCTGCGAGCACGTTCCCTGCCAGGCTTCGATCGTTCGCGCAGACCTGAGCAGAGAACTTTTTTTCCGTTTCGCAAGCTCCGGTGTAACGGCAGCCCGATGCTTGAGAGCATCGTGGACACTGATTCTCTCGGTGCGGTCCTCGAATTATTGGGATGCTGAAAAGGAAAGACTGTCATTGAGGCCGAGAATGTTGAGTTGCGGGAGCTCGCCTAATTGATGCTGTTAGCGTCGCTGGAGCTCGCGTATCCGAACGACGTCGCCACGGGCGAATAGAGGGCTCCGCTTCTGCTCATTATACAAGCAGTTACTCGTGTATCACCGCTAATCTTCTCGTTCTGAACACCAGTGGAACGACCCCCCGTATCACCTCCTTCGCTGAGTAATGACAGCACGGGGAGCAACTCGAATTCAATGCCGTTACCGCCGACACCGGCCTTCCCAACCGGTGCGGCCTTGGACTGGACGAAGGATGCTCTCAATCAAAGCGAATCATCCCTTGAAAAGGTTCGTATCCTAACTCGAGACCCGGTGCGACGCACCCGAACCGCTGACTGACGTAAAGGGCGTAGAGGGACGCCTCGATCCGATAGAATTATGTACACCATCGGGTCACGTGGAATTTATCGATCCGAGGCTTACTTCCCGTGGGAGCCACGTGAACTCGGAGCAATTCCGAACACACCGCGATCAGGAATTTGCACAATTGACTATCCATTGATCCGAATAATTGCAGTTCGGGGAAAACTCGGAACAAGATACCGACGAGGACGCCTCGAACGGGCCGAAGGACGCGTATCAAGTCATCCGACGGCACACGGTCGGTCCTGAAGAAGATTCCGGACGTCAGGCTCCCACACCAGCAATTCTCAGGGTGAGCTCACGTTATCCTCGATGCGTCGCGCGTCGGTTCGAACATCCGTTGTCGACGTGCCTATCTTTCGGAATTCTTGTCGTCAACGTGTCTCCGTCCGTGCCTCCGGCTACCTTCCGGCCAGAGGTCGGAGCGCGCCCGGTGTTGCGGAAAAAAATAAAGTATTGCGTCATGGCCGTCACGTTTCTCGATTAACTCGAATCGCTTCTGCTTCGGTAGGTACCATTGCCGATATCAGCGCTGCCGAACACGAACCTGCCGGCGAATCTGCCTCTTGTACAAAACGAGTCCCCGCAAAACTTTTGCGTTAAGGATCAACACCTGCTCAAACCACCCGAAGAGTTTCTTTCGATCGCGGGTCAGGGCATCTCACGAAGGGCATCTGACGGCGGCGCTAATATCAGCGTACACTACCACAATCGCTTCGATCACTACTCCCACTACTGTGCTCAGCCTTACAGGACGTTCAGCCCTCACACAAGAGACATCTCGGTAAGGCATTCGACGTCAACTGATCTGATCACTGCGAAATCGCCACATTTTATGCGTTGAGCGACGAATCGTTCCCTCTGTTTGTTGTGTTTCACTCGTGACATGATCGTTACCGAGCTGTGCTCTCGTGGCAAAGTCTTTAGTCGGATCAGTTTATGAAAACAAGTGTTCAGTCCCGATAACTCTCTCGTTGCTCGCTATCTGTGTTTGTTTCGACCCGAGCAATGAGATTAACGGGAGTTCCTGCTTTGTTCCCAACAGAATTCTTTGAGTAAGTACATACATCACAAGGGTTTTCTAATCAGAGAGATTCCATTTTTCTCCCTCTCCCGCCTATTCCCCGCGGCTCATCCTTCTGCTGGTGTCGGTGATTGCACAGCCGGGTCGTCGGTTCAGCCGCGATGAGGCGAATTGCTCTTCTTCTTCCCCCAATGACTCTGAGCTGAGCCCCCGGCGGAGCGTACGAACTAGGGAGCCTCCCACGGGACTCGAAGCTCCTCCCGGCACCTCGACCGGAGCCTCGGCCTGGTTCCGTGCGCAGATGATGTCCGCTGGGCGGCAGCGTCGGAGTGGTTTGATTGCGCTGCTTGACAAGGCGCAACAGAGCCATAACTGTGAGTAGTGGACCCTTTTCCACGACAACCCCCTCCCCCTCGGAGTTTCCGCGGGGTATCAGTCCCTCACTTCGATGATATCGATCTCTTGACCCGCGCACACGCTCATCCCCCAATAGACCCTTATCTATTACATTCCTCCACTCCTCGGGCTTTTGGAAGCTGTCGATTCGAGCGCTTAAATTCTCTTCTCGATCGTATTCAGTAACTCGACGATGCAGTGAAGGCGGTGGGAGTCCTCCGCCCCTGGCCTTCATGACGCCGGGTGGAACGACGCCTCATATGTTGAAGGCGTTGCAACAGGAGCACCAGATACTGCTCCAACAGAAGCATCATGCGCCCTTGAGCGACAGCGAGCGTGCCGAGGTCCAGAGAAGACACACCATCCATGTACAACAGATGCAACAGGTCCAGCAGCAGCAAAGGTTCGTCGACGGGTCTTTGCCCGGTTCTCCGTTGTTGTCTCAATAAAATGATTTTGTAATAGAATGTTTTTGAACGGTATTGGGAAGCTGCTAAGTCTCGTGAAGGCGTGAAGGACCACAGTTGCGTATACCACGAGTGATCCCAAACGAATATACCTTTATCGACCCTCGGGAGTCCCTCGATCGTGCGTCGGGGGAAATTGTCTGTTCCTCCCCTGCCCCTCCCCTTGATCTGGTCGCTCCGGTTCTAATGCTCTTATTGTCCTCGAGCAGATTGCAGACTGGCGTAATGAACTTATCGATGAGCTCCCCGCCATCGATTGCGTCGTCGCCCATCCACACGCCGTCGGGAGGGGTTCCTCTCTCCCCACAATTGGCGAGACTAAGCTCTCCACAACAAGTTCTGAGCCAGTTGCAAAGACTCCAGCTGCAATTCAGCAATATCGACGATCCGTCTTCGCGCGCGTCAACGCCCTCGCCGCCCGTGCGTATTCCGCAGCTCGTAGTGACCGATCTGAGTCCGAGGGTTATTCCTCCGATCGCCGCTTGTGTTCCCCCTCCCTCGCAAGCGTCGCCGGCGGTTTCGTCTTCAAGTGCCACGACGACATCCGTAGCCGCGGCTACAGCGGCTGTCGTGGCGGCCGCAGCTCAATCAGGATACATTCCGCATATCAGTGTCACGGACGAAAAAGGCGAGGACTGCGCCCTTTACTCGCCCACGCGTTGGGTGGAGAACACGGTCCTCGACGACACGTCTCCCACGACGAGCACGGGCGCGGGGGCTGTTGGCCTACCGACTATCACCGAGAACCTCTTCGAGCCGCAAACGGTCTACCGGAGAGGGAGTGCAGAGAACGACTACGAAGACGTTATGGACTACACGATGCCCGAACTTCTACAGAAGACGCCTAGTGGCTCTTTGTGCATGGAACTCACTCTTAACCAGGGCAGCCTCGGCGAAATTCAACGGGCGCTGTGCGAACGAGCGACCGACCTCGTGCTACAGCGATCGGAACGTGGTCTGATCGCTCTCGAACCCCACGGTGTCGTTCAGGTCGAGCTCGAACTCGATCAACGACTCCTGAAGATGCGACGTCTCAGCGGAGACACCGTCCATTACTCTCGACTTTGCCAACGTCTCATTGAATGCATGGATTCTGTGGTCGGCTAGCAGTAGTAGCAGCAACTGCTGCCGTAGGAAACTCATGCAGAAATGCGACCTGCGTTCCTAAGCACCAAAAAACATTCATCCATTCATTCCCTCTCTAAGAGAAAATATTCGATCGAGTGAGTCAGCGAATAACCGAGTGAACACAATCAACCGGTCGGCCCGTCAGCCAGCCGGCCCATCGATGGTCAGCCTGGCGAGCTGAACGGATCAATCAGCTCTGCGAGAGAATCGCTTCATAATATCGAAATTCCTCAATCCTGACTTATTTCACACTCGTAGCGTACAGGAGCTCTCGATCCCAAGCCTCCGCCTACGTGGGTATTGCAAATGTTCCGAGGCGGGCGAGCGAACGATGGCAACGCGCCTGGCCCCTACCCCGTAGCTTGAGGAAATCCCGCGAAGCGACAAGGGTGGTAAGGGGAATTCTAAAGGAGACTCGAGAAGCGGACTACATAGTCTCCGAATACTTGGGATCTGAAGAAATCGAGACGGCGTCCGCCAATTCAACAAACAAGCATGACGACGCAGGAAGGACGCATACTCGAACATCGAATGCGAAGCTTGGCTCTACAATCCCAGCCTGAAGAAGCATGCTGTATCCATTGGCAATTATACGGTCATGTGAACTCGCGGAAGTGCTTCCGAAACTCTTCGGAATCGTAATCGGTATCGACGTCATGCAGTCTCGTTTCGGAACGAAAGGATCCATCGTCCTAAACTTGAAGAGTACCGTGGTGATGTTGTTTCTTTCTGTGATCCGATGGATATTGACACCCGAGCAAAACCCGGCGACGACCAACTGGCATTATAATTAAGACATTGTTATTACCTGATTGTTACTGAACTCCATGGCCGTGTTGACCATGATGCGACGATGAGAACGATTCAAGATGAGCATTCATTGACAACCCGATGATAATAGTAATAATGATAACAATAATAAATAATTATTGTGACGATAACCATCACGACCGTCGGAGAGGTTTGAAAACCGATGGTGTCCACGAAGATGGTAAGAACGATCGCTGGTGAAGAGCTGATATTGGGGATCCAATGTCATGAATAATGAGTTTATCGATCAGGATTGTATCGTTGTTAGCATTCTTAGTGATGGTTGATGTTAGTGACAGAGGTGATCGATGTTGAAAGCTTTCGTGAGTGAATGAATTCTGGATGTTCAATCATTCCTCTTGAGCTGCTCGGGTTATACCACGTGCGGAACGAGAGATATGGATATGAAATGTGCAAGTGGAGATTGTGAATGGCGAGATTAAAGCAGTACTTACCACGATATAGTGTTACAATAATTCCTATGATTTCCATTTCGACTTTCCCCGTCACGGGGTAGCGATTCTGACTTCGATTCTTCTCCTCATCAAATGGTCACGAGGGGAGCCCCCGCCCCTCGATCGATCACACAAATAATTTCTCCTCTTGGTTGAGACGCTTAGAGCGCTCCGTGGAGCACCGATCTGAGATACATAGTATGCTCAAACATTTCGAGAATCGGACACACACATAGACTCGCGAAACACATGACATCAATCAGACATTCTCAAATCAGATCCACGAGTCACGAACCGCTTCGAAGTTCCCCCTATTCGAAAATGAGCTCCGGGAGACGAGGCGACAACATTCATCATGTCGCAGTCCTAGCGCAGACTCAGGACTCGCGATCCGACCTACTTTCCCGCTCATTCCGGAGCGCTTAAGCGTGATCGAAGTACTCCGGCATGTTATAACAAGCGAGCCATAGGTAAGCTCACACTGGGCGCTATCTCATTTCTCGAACAAGTCCGGAGTCTAACGCAGCTGTGTCCAGCCCGTCTTGACTTCAAATGTCGGCGGACTTCATGAAACGGAATGCTGGCACATAGCAAACGACGCTGGAATGTGTCATCGTCCCCCAGGTTCCTTCGAATGGGAATCGATTGAACGATCGGAGCCTTCCTGATGGAAGAATGGATCGATGCAATCATGGATAATTTTTCTAATTTTGCAAACATCTCCATGAATCAAGTCATAGCGAATTGTGTTCTTGATGAAAAAAATCGGCAGCAAGGAAAATCATGGAATAGAGAATCAATCCGCCATCAGAAGCTTAAACAATAACTACAATGATGTTGGAATGCGGAAAGAATAATAATATCAGATGCTACTGTAATACGCTTACGACACCGAGATCCGTTCGGTAGGTTTTGCTGGAAATAGTGTAAATAAAATGTTTATAAGACGACTCAATCTATGTGTCGATTCTTCCTTGGACGTTCCTCCGAAACAAGGATTCATCAACCTCGAAAGCTAATAACGCTATAGCTACATGGAATTTGTTTGCGCAGCGGTGCATAATGACGGCTAGAACAGAGAATGGGGTGGTACGGACTTATCGGACAAGGGTTCGGTGCGGCGTGGTTTCTCCGTTCGTTCAGCGTGGGCTATATCTGCCTCCTATATTTCTCTGTCTGCTCGGTGCAACCTTGGATTCCTGGGGAGCTTACGCCAAGAATAGATTAATTTCGTTTCTCGTTGAGCTCCTTCTCCCCGGGGTGGCCCATGTGTCCCCGTAATTCGTCGTCATCTCCCTGCCCTATTGCATGCGGGATTGTGACGCATTCTGCGGTGATGATATTGTGTAGATCAACCCTCATTCAATGGCGACACATACCATCCGCCCTCTCACCGTCGGAAGGATCGTCTCGACGGGGGAAGTATCAAGAGCCGGACGATCCCATTTTTCGGTCCGAGGGTTTGCTTAGCATCATCCACTGGGCTTGCGACAGCCGCGATCGATGAGCTCGTTCTCGAGAGAACGGAGTTCGACTCGTGAGCCAGAAGCGATGTTCCAACCAGACTCTTTGTCCGAACGGATAGCTGCTGTCAATGACTCTCATTCCCGAGGGCATCTGTCAAATGAAGTCGATCATTATTCCGTAGATTGAGGACACCGTCGAACTCTTCTGTCAAGCGCACATGACAGTTCGCTCCTCGGACGCTCGTACGAGACCTGCTGGGCACCGTCATGGGAAGCTATCATACGGGCAGAAGCCCTGGGCTCTTGGATTTTTTTCCCGGTCGATTCTCCCGGTCGAACTTGCCTCTGGTCCAAGTTTTCGGGTCGAGGGAGGGTCCCGGCGGACAAGTCCGCCCAGATATACAAGCGCCTGAAGGAAGGCATTGACCCGCCGTCAATCCTCCGGAAGTGGAAGGCTCAGCACCGCAGGCGCAACGGCAACGCAAAGCCCTCGCCTAGAGCAGCATTTTGCCCAGCGCCCAGCGTCGTATGCAAGGGCTCGTTGCCTGCTCGAGATATCTGACCGCCCCGTGGAGCTCCGCGTGAAGTCTCATCATTATCGGCGGTCCGTTCATTCCCTCGTTATTAGGGGGAATGCCGTATCGATGGCAAGTCGGACGCTTACCCCTATACGTATTTCTTCCTCCATTGTGACATTCTGGGGGCATGGTGATCACAGAGATTGGAATCTTCTGAGGACCGTGACATCGAGAGGCTCTTCGATTCCGGCAGGTTGTTCAGAGCGATCGATACTTTTAAAGCAATATGCTAGCTGTCATACCTGCGGGGAGGTTTGAGATTTCCACTGGATAGTCGAACTCGAAATCCCACACAGCCGTGTCTCTCTCGAACTCAGGAGCCCCAGAACTCTGGTCAGGTCCGCGATGGAATGGCTAAGTGGTCGAGGCGGCCTGCTCTTTGCAGGAAGCTTCGCATGGCCACGTCGGAGTGGGAGGCCGCTTCAGTCCTGGGGTCGCAGAATTTCAGTCATGAGGCCGCTGGATTGAGTTCGATGGCCGGATGACCCTTGCGGATACCGGGATGGAACTATACCTTTTGAAACCTCAAGGCTCCCTGCAGCCCCATCTCGCTCCGCATGGAGCTGGGGTCCTTTCTCCGAGCCCGCGAATCAATCGTGTTGCTCGAGCCGGATGGAGGTGGCAGCGTGACACCACATATCCTTATCTGAGGTGCTCAAGGACTGAGGAGGCGAATCAAAAGGTACACATGCGAGCGCAGAGAGGTATATGACACGACTCCTCTTCGAGCGATTGGACCGTCCGGGAGTATTGCGTCTGGGGTCCGAGGCGAAACCGACATTCCAATAGTCGAAGGAGCAAAATCACATCGTGAGAAGTATTCCATGCAGAGCTTCCCTCCGTGAGCATGAATGTTTTGAATATCCCTCCTGCCGCATGAGACTGCTGAGAAGTATGAGATGATGGAGTGAGATGCTCTGACAGGATGGCCATGGTCTGGCTAGAGAAGCAACAGTTCTAGTGGGATCTTCGACAAGCTCTGATTCTAAGTACTCTGCACAATTGAGGTGAGAGTCATAGATCGCCGCGAGAGGTTTTCCCCGTAACGTGATACGGAGTTCAGAAGCGGCCGGGTCAACTCGCGGAAAACAGGAGAGGGCTTGGAGTCAGTGGAAGAACTTTGAATTGAGATGCGGACGATTCCAGTATGGAGGGCTACTTCTCTTGAGGGGGAAATTCCCCGTCGCAAGCTTCAATGTTCGAGAAGTTTCATTCGGGATGCGAGCGCTTGGACGAACATTCGATCCAAAGTTGAGCTCGCTTAGGACAGTCATTGACCGGGGGGACCGTGGATTGAAGTCCAAGTACTCATATTCTCTGGGAATGAGAGCCTCGGCAGTTACAAGAAGCCTCGCAACTACTACAGAATTTTTATCGGATTCCAAACCGTACGACTGGCTGATATGCGAAATGAACGATACACCTTAAGACAAAAGCGACGGCGATTTACATAACTTCCAGATTTCCATTGGGGACCTAAAGATCTTCGAATCGATCCTGGAGGATAGATTATAAAGTATTCAAGACGCGTCTTCAGTCGTAGACGAAACATGGAGGAGGCACGAGGCCCCCACTCCACTTGGGTGGTCACGTAAAATATTTCACGTAGACCCTAAGCACATACAGGCGTAGTACGTTTGTCGTCTTCGTGAAATCGCTTATCGTCATCGGGAGTGAGCCGCTCCCGTTTATGCTCCCGAATCTCAGAACCGGCGCGGCGTACGGGACCGTTTCTCGAATAGT